AGATAGAAGTAAGCATAGAGGGCATTTAGGAGGGCTTCTAAACTGTTATTGATTAAAAATAATAATTAGTAAACAATATGTTAAGTGTATAAAATAAATAAAAGGCAGTATTTAAAATATCAGTGTCTAACTACCATATTGCACTTTACCTATCCAGGCAATTATATTATTCCAACAATTTTCATTCACATTGTTACTTTCTCGTATATACGAAGTATAGAGAAAGTATTCTAATCGTGCAAAAAAAACCCACGAGATTTTTACAAATCTCGACGTTTTACACCTCACTGATACGGAAAAACATAATTTTGCAATCTTTTCCGTATGTCTGTGTGTGTGTCTGTGTGTAAACACGATTACTTGAGTACCGTTACAGCTAGGTTGATGAAATTTCATATATAAGTATTTTATCAAAATCGTAGATCCGTATCAACTTTTGAGCGATTTCCGATAACCGGAAGTGGTACTTTTTCTACTTTGAATTTTTCAAAAGCCTATAACTTGAGTACTATTTCAGATAGATAAATGAAATTTCACATGTAAGTAAAAGATCTAATTCTCTACCATCTATCAAATTTTGATTAATTTCCGTTGACCGGAAGTACTAATTTACGCTATTTCCGATTTCTCAAAAAACGCACGTAAATTTATAAAATACTAATAATATCCCGCACTATTATGCACATTTTATTTGGCGTTCACTTAGTGTGCAATTCTTTTTTTTTACGAGATTCCATTCTATTATAATAAGTTTTAGTAATTAAAAATGGATTACAAATATTGTCTATGTCCTGAGTTGCCATCCCTCGTAGTTTTATATTAGATTATCCGAGAAAGTTTAGGGGAGATCACTCCGGTTTATTTTGTATTAGTGTTAGTTGAATTTTATTTTAAATTACCTCCCCTGGCATATTTATTAAATATTTTAAATAATTACTTTTTTCTACCCTACTGTTATTAAAATGTATCTATTGTTTCTAAGAATCTGAGCGAAAATATTATTTGACATTTATCCGTTTAATATGTGTAGGCAATGTGCGTGTAGGGCCTACTTAATATATTCTTCACCTTATGCGAAATAGAAAAAACTGTGCCATTTATACAAAAAATTTTAGTTGTTATATGAACAAACCCCACTACATGGTTTAAAATAAGACAATGTGATGCAAGTAAAATGCATGTGTTGATGTTTACTTTTATGGTTCTAGAATTTATAGCCATGAAAGAAACTGAATGACTGACACACTACCACCAGCCTTATATTATAGATATTACTTTCCCAGTATTTGTTAGCTTCTAAAGTTAGACAACTAAATTAGGCATTTGATTCTTAATTCTATTTTTTATTCAACAATCAATGAAGCCATTCTATTTTGTGTATAGACGCTAAATATAGACATTACCACAATTCTTTTTCTAGTAACCTTGATGTACACTTAGTTACATCACATTCATTCTAATTATAGTTGTAGTCATACCACCTAAACCTTTCCCCTAAACTCAAACTTGACAAAAGTCACATTCAGAGTTTCTTTCAGGCATCTTTTTGGTGGGGGGGGGGGGGGGGCAGGCAGACAAACAATATGTCGGTAATCTATTTATCTATTTGTCTGGAGCCAATAGGTCATGAGCCAATATGTCGGGAGCCCATTTGCCGATAGCCTATATGCCCTTTTGACATGAGCATATATGCCCTTTTGACAGAAGCCTATATGCCCTTTTGACAGTAGTCTATATGCCCTTTTGACTTGGTCGTTTTGTCAGGGGCTGATTAGTCAGGGTAGTTTTGATTTGGCGTCCTACACACTGGGTCAGTGATACTACTTGATTCAAAAGTTGCAAATGTCTCGGCCTTTGGTGGGCATTTCATATACACTATTGCACCTTCACTCATTTTAAACTAGGCCTATTAAAGTAAAACAGCCAAAGGAGACTTGGGGTTGCACATCAGAAAAACAAAAGAGCAGGATGGTTTGGTGTACTGCTAGAATAACAACAAGACCTGCAAATTATTTATAATCTACCCACTCGTATTTTTATTCAGCTTCCGTTTCTAAATGTTAGCTACCTCTAATTGCATTTCCTGCTTCTTTCTGTTTAAAAAAAAGTGACAAACAACCCTTCTTTGTAGTAACAGTTGCTAATTTTTAAATTGCGATGTGTACTCACCGTTATCCCTGTTTGATGCTGCTTAACGTCCTTGCTAGCTCAGGCTATAAGGCGTGTTACAGGCAGGCTGGTTTCTAAACAGAAGTGAACTCACAATAACCCCTTGACCGTATCTTGTTCCCTAATTCTTTAATTTGCTGTTCTGGTGGATCACATATAGTGTTTACCATATGAATTAAGATTAGGCCTTTAAAAGTCGTTGCTGTTGAATATTTACATTTTTAAAATATAGATAGAAACTGAAAACAAGTGCAAAAAAAAACATTTTTTCTTTTGTGGAGATTTGTAATTTAAAAAAAAAAGTTTAATTCGGGGGTAATTGCAAATCTACTCAAATCTTTTGGAATATAAGCAGCTTGTACCTGTCTAAGGAAAGAATAGAATGGATGCTGAAGCCATGGAAAAAAAGGTTTGAGTTAAAAAATAGTTTTCTTTCTTCGTTTTCCAACTTTTCTTTGTACACTAAATAGTTCTAAAATAAATGTTGTAAGAGCAATTTTGAGTAAATGAATGTCAGGTTTGTTGCAACCTACCACAGACATCACACTAGGGCTCCTGCAACCTACCACAGACATCACACTAGGGCTCCTGCAACCTACCACAGACATCACACTAGGGCTCCTGCAACCTACCACAGACATCACACTAGGGCTCCTGCAACCTACCACAGACATCACACTAGGGCTCCTGCAACCTACCACAGACATCACAGTAGGGCTCCTGCAACCTACCACAGACATCACACTAGGGCTCCTGCCAGAGTCTGACATTTTCCAGAAGGCCATTTCCCAAATTGACACTTGCCAGAATGGGACAAATACCACTTATGTCACCAAGCTATTAATAAAAATAACAGCTGAAAATACTAAAAACATCAAATATGTCCAATATTATTCACACAAAAACCAGTTAGGTTTTTTAAACCAAAAATATTCAAATATCTGAATTTTATTAAAATGAATAATGCAGATTAAAAAGAAATAATTTTATATATGCAACATAAGCAATCATGCAGGAATTAATTTTCTAAAGCCTTTTTTACAGTTGATTGCAATTTTTTTTCCTTTGCCTGTCACTGCTCTTGGCTCGTTCTGTTTTTATTAGTCATTAACCTACTTGTATGATAACTTAAACAATAAAAAAGAAGTATTAGTCATTAACCTACTTGTATGATAACTTAAACAGTAAAAAAGAAGTATTAGTCATTAACCTACTTGTATGATAACTTAAACAATAGGAAAGAAGTATTAGTCATTAACCTACTTGTATGATAACTTAAACAATAGAAAAGAAGTATTAGTCATTAACCTACTTGTATGATAACTTAAACAATAAAAAAGAAGTATTAGTCATTAACCTACTTGTATGATAACTTAAACAATAAAAAAGAAGTATTAGTCATTAACCTACTTGTATGATAACTTAAACAATAGAAAAGAAGTAGCCATTCTAAATGTTACGAGTTGTTACATAATGTACTTAACCGATTTTCTTCTTTCAAAAGTTTGGTATTCTATTGGTTTTATTTTTAAAAGTAAATTCAATTGTTGTTTTGTTTTTTTGTCAATACTTTAATGGAAAAGGCTAAATTAAAGGCGTATATTATGAAAAGGAAATATTCAAGGCATGCATCATTCTCATTATATTATTACTTTAATTCCACTTTCTTGGGTGCTTAGCTCTATTCAATATATAAGTTGTTTTTTAACCATTTCTAGTTGTGTTGGTAAAGAGAGACATGATTCAAATATGACTCAAGAACAAAACAGGATGAAAACATTTTCATGTAGGCCTGAGTGTGTGCATGTGTATGAGTGAGTGTAGGTCTGTTTCAAACAATCCTATGGTGAAAAACCTTGCTCTCTTGGCATCTTACCTTTAATACCCTTACTACTCACCTCTGACCCTGGATTTTTCTAGTTGTATTTATAGCAGCTGGTATTTTTGTGGCTGCTGTGTTGACTTAGGATGCTATAGGGCTGGTAAGTAGGTCACCAACCAGTTCTATGGCTCATGAAGTTTTTATTGAGCCGTAGAACTGGTTGGTGACCTACTTACCAGCCCTATAAACATGCCAAAAAATGACTTCAATTTAAATATCTGAATTTGCAATTGAATAGACTTCAAGTTGGTACTGGAGTGATTTGTTTCTATACTAGGCACTCTTTTGTTGAAGGGATGGGTCTTTGCACTGTTAACATGTTTTGATTGGGCTAGTTCAATAGCAATGGATAAATGACTAATAGAAAGCTTATTGCCAAGCTGCATTTTTTGTTGCATACCATGTTCAGCTGGACATCAGTGCATGTAAACTCTTTCATGTCATACAAAGAAATGTTCCCTGAGTTGTTCCCATTGGTGAGATGAGTGAGTTGTTCCCATTGGTGAGATGAGTGAGTTGTTCCCATTGGTGAGATGAGTGAGTTGTTCCCATTGGTGAGATGAGTGAGTTGTTCCCATTGGTGAGATGAGTGAGTTGTTCCCATTGGTGAGATGAGTGAGTTGTTCCCATTGGTGAGATGAGTGAGTTGTTCCCATTGGTGAGATGAGTGAGTTGTTCCCATTGGTGAGATGAGTGAGTTGTTCCCATTGGTGAGATGAGTGAGTTGTTCCCATTGGTGAGATGAGTGAGTTGTTCCCATTGGTGAGATGAGTGAGTTGTTCCCATTGGTGAGATAAGTGAGTTGTTCCCATTGGTGAGATGAGTGAATTGTTCCCATTGGTGAGATGAGTGAGTTGTTCCCATTGGTGAGATGAGTGAGTTGTGTATTAGACTAGAAAGTGTTCCATGTCTGCTATCATCTATTCACAATGGCTCCTTCTCATTTCAGCAGATAGAAACCACAGAGGCAGTGAGTATAGTTGTCAATGCTTTTTCTTGTTTGTTTTTTATTGATGTTTATAGCTAAATGTGTACTAGACTATCTCAAAGACAATTTGAAAAAAAAAAAGCATTTCAAAGAGAGTTATTGGTAAGGTCTATATGATATAACTGTGTGTACGTGATTTGTGTGTAACTTAAAAGATTTGAACCTTTGTCATATTTAATTTTCAATGAAAACTAAACTGCCCCCATATCTAAAGCATGAAATGCAATGCACTGGAGGAAGCATGAATCAAATGTCAGGAAGTAACTTGAGCAGCTGGCAAGTGGAGTATCCTATTGTGGTCTGCCTAGCTTAAGGGCATGGCTCTCACCAGTTTAGCCCCATCAATGTAGACATACATCAGTCAAACAATTTGTCAGCATGGGTTAACAGAGACACACTAATCCATCAGTCAAACAATTTGTCAGCATGGATTAACAGAGACACACTAATCCATCAGTCAAACAATTTGTCAGCATGGATTAACAGAGGCACACTAATCCATCAGTCAAACAATTTGTCAGCATGGATTAACAGAGACACACTAATCCATCAGTCAAACAATTTGTCAGCATGGATTAACAGAGACACACTAATCCATCAGTCAAACAATTTGTCAGCATGGATTAACAGAGACACACTAATCCATCAGCCAAACAATTTATTTGTCAGCATGGTCAAATAGTAATAATGATGCTCTATTGGTTTCTTTTGAAATGTATTGATGTGAACTAAGGCATGTCTGATGTTTGACCATTTGCTTCTCTGTTGGATGTTGTTCACCTCTATATCAGACAATCTTTTTTGACCATTTGGCAGAGTAGAACCTAGAAATTAGCTTCTAACTTTCTCCAATCAATAATTTTTGTTTTAAAGACCAAAATACCCAACCTTTCATTTGATTAAGTTTGACATTTTTAGTACGATGAGGTCAACATGATCATGTAGTGAGTTCAGATGGCCAAGTACGATGAGGTCAACATGATCATGTAGTGAGTTCAGATGGCCAAGTACGATGAGGTCAACATGATCATGTAGTGAGTTCAGGTGGCCAAGTACGATGAGGTCAACATGATCATGTAATGCAGGGGTCTCCAAACTACGGCCCGCGGGCCGGATGCGGCCCGCGAAGTCCTCTCATCCGGCCCGCGGAGATCATTTTGTCCAAGGAAAAATCGTTTGTTGGTGATAGCTGAAGAACTTTGGCCAGAAAAACCAAAGACATGCCTGGAAGAAACTGGCCCCCGAACTGAAATTTGATAGTTAATGCGGCCCTCGGATTGAAAAGTTTGGAGACCCCTGATGTAATGAGTTCAGATGGCCAAGTACGATGAGGTCAACATGATCATGTAGTGAGTTCAGATGGCCAAGTACGATGAGGTCAACATGATCATGTAGTGAGTTCAGATGGCCAAGTACGATGAGGTCAACATGATCATGTAGTGAGTTCAGATGGCCAAGTACAATGAGGTCAACATGATCATGTAGTGAGTTCAGATGGCCAAGTACGATGAGGTCAACATGATCATGTAGTGAGTTCAGATGGCCAAGTACGATGAGGTCAACATGATCATGTAGTGAGTTCAGATGGCCAAGTACGATGAGGTCAACATGATCATGTAGTGAGTTCAGGTGGCCAAGTACGATGAGGTCAACATGATCATGTAGTGAGTTCAGATGGCCAAGTACAATGAGGTCAACATGATCATGTAGTGAGTTCAGGTGGCCAAGTACGATGAGGTCAACATGATCATGTAGTGAGTTCAGATGGCCAAGTACGATGAGGTCAACATGATCATGTAGTGAGTTCAGGTGGCCAAGTACGATGAGGTCAACATGATCATGTAGTGAGTTCAGGTGGCCAAGTACGATGAGGTCAACATGATCATGTAATGAGTTCAGATGGCCAAGTACGATGAGGTCAACATGATCATGTAGTGAGTTCAGATGGCCAAGTACGATGAGGTCAACATGATCATGTAGTGAGTTCAGATGGCCAAGTACGATGAGGTCAACATGATCATGTAGTGAGTTCAGGTGGCCAAGTACGATGAGGTCAACATGATCATGTAGTGAGTTCAGATGGCCAAGTACAATGAGGTCAACATGATCATGTAGTGAGTTCAGGTGGCCAAGTACGATGAGGTCAACATGATCATGTAGTGAGTTCAGATGGCCAAGTACGATGAGGTCAACATGATCATGTAGTGAGTTCAGATGGTCAAGTACGATGAGGTCAACATGATCATGTAGTGAGTTCAGATGGCCAAGTACGATGAGGTCAACATGATCATGTAGTGAGTTCAGATGGCCAAGTACGATGAGGTCAACATGATCATGTAGTGAGTTCAGATGGCCAAGTACGATGAGGTCAACATGATCATGTAGTGAGTTCAGATGGCCAAGTACGATGAGGTCAACATGATCATGTAGTGAGTTCAGATGGCCAAGTACGATGAGGTCAACATGATCATGTAGTGAGTTCAGATGGCCAAGTACGATGAGGTCAACATGATCATGTAGTGAGTTCAGGTGGCCAAGTACAATGAGGTCAACATGATCATGTAGTGAGTTCAGATGGCCATTATGAAATAGAGATGACCTGTTCTACTGCACTCATAGTGTATGTGAGCTGACACATTTTTCTCTTGATTGTGTCAAGTGTGAGCTGCTCTTGATAGATTTCTGTTCAGTGTTGTTTTTTTTTGTTTTTTTTTTGTTGTTGTTTTTTTTTTTGCTAAGCCATTTTGTGATATTAGAGAAGCAAGCATTGCAGATTATTTATGCATTAAAACTGAGTAATGAACTTTCACTTCAAATAACTGAATGCAATTGCAATTATATCACCTAATTAAACAAGGATAAGTTTTAGTACCACGTTTTAAACATGTTATGCTTTAGCAGTCATTTAACTTCATAAAAACAACTTTAATTGATCCCATAGTGCCTCAAGCAAGCTATTTTACTACCCTAACTCTACTTGTAAAGTTTAAGTATCTTAACAGTATACAACAATTGCTAAGTCCATGCTTAGCACAAATGTTCTGACACACTCAAAAAATGACAGCATACTCCTAAACATGTGTGCTGGGAGGGGAAGGGTTACATATAATTGAATTTACAAGAAATGTGATGTTATTTTTTATAGCAAAAAATCTCCTTAGTTGCAGAAGACGTTACCTAACTTTAATAATCACAGGCTGTGCAAATTTCAATATGTTCTTGTTCAGATTATTCTTCTATTTTTGAAGATATTAGCAGGTATATTTCTGGCCATATTTAGGTTCCACTAGACTACCCGTTATTCTTTAATAACCATGTGTTTCGGGGGTCATCCATAAATAATGTCACGTTTGTTGAACGCTTTTTATCTTTCCTCTCCCCTTCCCACTGTCAATCATTAATGACATAGATCTAGATCTAGAATCTACGGCTGGCTTAAGACTTAAGTCTAGTTTTTCTGAAGCTCTTTATCTAGTTAAATCCCTTGTATTCCCAAATTAGATGATCCTGGAAGCTAAAAAGCAAGGATTTATATCAAACATTTAAGGACTAAAATAGTTTACTAAAGAAACTCAATAATTTATTCTGGTATACAGAGTAAAATAGTTTACTAAAGAAACTCAATAATTTATTACTCTCTGGTATACACACTAAAATAGTTTACTAAAGAAACTCAATAATTTATTCTGGTATACAGAGTAAAATAGTTTACTAAAGAAACTCAATAATTTATTACTCTCTGGTATACACACTAAAATAGTTTACTAAAGAAACTCAATAATTTATTCTGGTATACAGAGTAAAATAGTTTACTAAAGAAACTCAATAATTTATTACTCTCTGGTATACACACTAAAATAGTTTACTAAAGAAACTCAATAATTTATTCTGGTATACAGAGTAAAATAGTTTACTAAAGAAACTCAATAATTTATTACTCTCTGGTATACACACTAAAATAGTTTACTAAAGAAACTCAATAATTTATTCTGGTATACAGAGTAAAATAGTTTACTAAAGAAACTCAATAATTTATTACTCTCTGGTATACACACTAAAATAGTTTACTAAAGAAACTCAATAATTTATTCTGGTATACAGAGTAAAATAGTTTACTAAAGAAACTCAATAATTTATTACTCTCTGGTATACACACTAAAATAGTTTACTAAAGAAACTCAATAATTTATTCTGGTATACAGAGTAAAATAGTTTACTAAAGAAACTCAATAATTTATTACTCTCTGGTATACACACTAAAATAGTTTACTAAAGAAACTCAATAATTTATTCTGGTATACAGAGTAAAGAGAAAGCTTTGTAATCAGAGACAAAAATCACATTTTGACAGTTTTTACCATTTGACACCTCAGTACTTCATCACATACAGAGTATAGGGGACTTATTTTAATCGGGGGGGGGGGGGGGGAATTATAAATCCAAATGTATCAAAATTTCAGCAATTTATGCGTATTTGAGTCGGAAAAACTGGGTTTTACAATTCTGTCTGTGTGTATGTATGTCTGTAAACACTATAACTTGAGTACTGTTACAGCTAAGTAGATGAAATTTCCTATATAAGTATTATATCAAATTTGCAGTTCTGTGTCAACTTTTCAGTAATTTCTGTTAACCAGAAGTGGGACTTATTCTACTTTTAGTTTTTCAAAAGCCTATAACTTGAGTACTGTTTCAGATAAACAAAATTTTACATATAAATAAAAGATCTAATTTTCTGTCGTCTCCCATAGTGTTATATAAGAATATTCAAGAAAGTTATGGGGAGATCACTCCCGGCTTATTGTGATTTTTTTAAATTGTTTTTATTTTTATCTAATTAATTTTGGCTTGACCTAGATTTTAGATCTAGTTCTACTTAATTAATTGTTTTTATTTTTATCTAATTAATTTTGGCTTGACCTAGATTTTAGATCTAGTTCTACTTTGACTTTCCCTTCCTCCGACAGCTTATCTGTAGATCTAGAGAAATTTATTGTATAGGCCTACTCAAATTATATGAACTGTTGAAAATTGATAATAGTGTTGGAACCTAATAAAAATAGCAAAAGGACGTATGGTTAAAGCTATAGCCAACAGAAAATTTGGCTTTATAATGTGTTAAACTTTTGAATGGGCAACCCTGTCTTCCAATGAAGCCGCCATGTTTGTTGTAAAAAGTAAATGAATCAAATAAACTAAAATGTTCTGAACTTTTGTAATTAAAGTCGTGTTTCTACCAATGAATATATCAATAAATTAATTAACGTCTTAAAATGAATTTGTTATTGACATTTTGGTAAAAAAGAACATTATTCTCTACATAAATACATACTTTACAGTTCTACACATAGTGCAGATGCTCGCATGGAACCAAACAGACAAACAAAAACAACAAATAAATATACAAACTTGTAACCAAACTTGAGTTTTAGTAGTATATAGATAGATGACATTCAGGGGCAAGCTTCACTTCTGTGCTAAAGCATACATACTAGAACATTTTAAGCCCATTTAAAATCCATTAAATCTTGCTTCATCAATTTCACTACTCTATCTTTATTGATTTTGTTAACAATTTTATGATTTTCCTATAGATCTAAATGTTAATTTACAGATGAATGCAGCAAAAAGAGATGCTTTTTTCCGAGCTGGTGGTGATGGGCCAACAACAAAATTTGACCCTACAGCAAGATATGGTGGTCTGTCTAGAAAGGAGGATCCTAATATAGAAACAGAAAAAGAGAGAGAGAGAAAGTATGGTGCAGAGACACGCAAAGAATTGGAAGGATATGTTGGGTTTGCCAATTTACCTAACCAAGTGTACAGAAAATCTGTCAAACGTGGATTTGAGTTTACCCTGATGGTTGTTGGTAAGTTATTCACACACACACTTAAAGAAACTACTTCATTAGGGATATAGTTTGCCTTGATGTCACAGGCAGACATTTAAAGAATTGGTGATTTAAAACTGCCAGAGAGCTTTTAAATGTCATTATAATTCAGGATTCTAACATTGTAGATGCCATATCTTTCAAAATTTTAAAATTCCATGTTTCAAAGATTATCTATATACTAGCTGTTGGTACCCTTTACACATGAGTTATAGGCCTAAGTTTTTAAAATGTTATACAATAGTTATTGGTCAAAACGCAATGTTCTTTACTACATGTTGAATGCATTTAGTGACAAACCAAAGAAATAACTAAATAGCTAAAATTCGACACATTTAATATAACATATACTATCAATACCTATTAGAAAAAAAAACCAAACCACTTTCCCATATTTTTCCTCACTTTTACCATATTTTTTCCCACTTTCCATTATTTTTCCTTAACCTACAAAATTTATTTCCATTTTTCCACTTTTGAAAACATTGCATGCATAAATTAGTAGTCTATATAACAACTAGATACTTGCAGCTTTCTTCTTTCCCCATTACTGGCCCTGTTATATATGGACTCTGGAGACTGGTGTGTAGTCTAGGGAATGTTCCAATTCTGCTTTAGTCAAACCTGCTCTAATATTTTTCAACAGGTGAATCTGGTTTAGGAAAATCAACTTTAATCAACTCATTGTTTCTAACTGACCTGTACAGTGCTGAGTACCCAGGACCCTCACACAGAATACAGAAAACTGTTAAGGTAGGCATTAACCCATTTTATTACAAAGTTTAAAATTTTCCTCAGGGAAAACCAGATGCCAAGAAACATAAACAAGATATTTTAATGTACACAAAGCAGGGAGTTGATAATTACCTGTGTCAGACAGCTATTTTACACATGTCTTGTATGTGGGTGTGAGGCTACACACATGTCTTGTATGTGGGTGTAAGACTACATACACACATGTCTTGTATGTGGGTGTGAGACTACATACACACATGTCTTGTATGTGGGTGTAAGACTACACACATGTTTTGTATGTGGGTGTGAGACTACATACACACATGTCTTGTATGTGGGTGTAAGACTACACACATGTTTTGTATGTGGGTGTGAGACTACATACATGTCTTGTATGTGGGTGTGAGACTACATACACACATGTCTTGTATGTGGGTGTAAGACTACACACATGTTTTGTATGTGGGTGTAAGACTACATACATGTCTTGTATGTGGGTGTGAGACTACACACATGTCTTGTATGTGGGTGTAAGACTACATACATGTCTTGTATGTGGGTGTAAGACTACATACATGTCTTGTATGTGGGTGTAAGACTACACACATGTCTTGTATGTGGGTGTGAGACTACACACATGTCTTGTATGTGGGTGTAAGACTACATACATGTCTTGTATGTGGGTGTAAGACTACATACATGTCTTGTATGTGGGTGTGAGACTACACATGTCTTGTATGTGGGTGTAAGACTACACATGTCTTGTATGTGGGTGTGAGACTACACACATGTCTTGTATGTGGGTGTAAGACTACACACATGTCTTGTATGTGGGTGTGAGACTACATACACACATGTCTTGTATGTGGGTGTAAGACTACATACATGTCTTGTATGTGGGTGTAAGACTACATACATGTCTTGTATGTGGGTGTAAGACTACATACACACATGTCTTGTATGTGGGTGTAAGACTACATACATGTCTTGTATGTGGGTGTAAGACTACATACATGTCTTGTATGTGGGTGTGAGGCTACACATGTCTTGTATGTGGGTGTAAGACTACACATGTCTTGTATGTGGGTGTAAGACTACACACATGTCTTGTATGTGGGTGTAAGACAACACACATGTCTTGTATGTGGGTGTAAGACTACACACATGTCTTGTATGTGGGTGTAAGACAACACACATGTCTTGTATGTGGGTGTGAGACTACATACACACATGTCTTGTATGTGGGTGTAAGACTACATACACACATGTCTTGTATGTGGGTGTGAGACTACATACACACATGTCTTGTATGTGGGTGTGAGACTACATACACACACGTCTTGTATGTGTGTGTAAGACTACACACATGTCTTGAATGTGGGTGTAAGACTACACACATGTCTTGTATGTGGGTGTAAGACTACATACACACACGTCTTGTATGTGTGTGTAAGACTACACACATGTCTTGAATGTGGGTGTAAGACTACACACATGTCTTGTATGTGGGTGTAAGACTTCACACATGTCTTGTATGTGGGTGTAAGACTACATACACACGTCTTGTATGTGGGTGTAAGACTACATACATGTCTTGTATGTGGGTGTAAGACTACATACACACATGTCTTGTATGTGGGTGTAAGACTACATACACACATGTCTTGTATGTGGGTGTGAGACCACATGTCTTGTATGTGGGTGTAAGACTACACACATGTCTTGAATGTGGGTGTAAGACTACACACATGTCTTGAATGTGGGTGTGAGACTACACACATGTCTTGTATGTGGGTGTAAGACTACACACATGTCTTGTATGTGGGTGTAAGACTACACACATGTCTTGTATGTGGGTGTAAGACTACATACACACATGTCTTGTATGTGGGTGTAAGACTACATACACACATGTCTTGTATGTGGGTGTAAGACTACATACATGTCTTGTATGTGGGTGTGAGACTACATACATGTCTTGTATGTGGGTGTAAGACTACATACATGTCTTGTATGTGGGTGTAAGACTACATACATGTCTTGTATGTGGGTGTGAGACTACATACATGTCTTGTATGTGGGTGTGAGACTACATACATGTCTTGTATGTGGGTGTAAGACTACACACATGTCTTGTATGTGGGTGTAAGACTACACACATGTCTTGTATGTGGGTGTAAGACTACATATGTCTTGTATGTGGGTGTGAGACTACACACATGTCTTGTATGTGGGTGTGAGACTACACACATGTCTTGTATGTGGGTGTAATACATACATGTCTTGTATGTGGGTGTGAGACTACAAACATGTCTTGTATGTGGGTGTAAGACTACATACACACACGTCTTGTATGTGTGTGTAAGACTACACACATGTCTTGAATGTGGGTGTAAGACTACACACATGTCTTGTATGTGGGTGTAAGACTTCACACATGTCTTGTATGTGGGTGTAAGACTACATACACACGTCTTGTATGTGGGTGTAAGACTACATACATGTCTTGTATGTGGGTGTAAGACTACATACACACATGTCTTGTATGTGGGTGTAAGACTACACACATGTCTTGTATGTGGGTGTAAGACAACACACATGTCTTGTATGTGGGTGTGAGACTACACACATGTCTTGTATGTGGGTGTGAGACCACACGTCTTGTATGTGGGTGTAAGACTACATACATGTCTTGTATGTGGGTGTAAGACTACATACACACATGTCTTGTATGTGGGTGTAAGACTACATACACACATGTCTTGTATGTGGGTGTAAGACTACATACACACATGTCTTGTATGTGGGTGTGAGACCACATGTCTTGTATGTGGGTGTAAGACTACATACATGTCTTGTATGTGGGTGTAAGACTACACACATGTCTTGTATGTGGGTGTAAGACTACACACATGTCTTGAATGTGGGTGTAAGACTACACACATGTCTTGAATGTGGGTGTAAGACTACATACATGTCTTGTATGTGGGTGTAAGACTACATACATGTCTTGTATGTGGGTGTAAGACTACATACACACATGTCTTGTATGTGGGTGTGAGACTACATACATGTCTTGTATGTGGGTGTAAGACTACATACACACATGTCTTGTATGTGGGTGTAAGACTACATACACACATGTCTTGTATGTGGGTGTAAGACTACATACACACATGTCTTGTATGTGGGTGTAAGACTACATACACACATGTCTTGTATGTGGGTGTAAGACTACATACACACATGTCTTGTATGTGGGTGTAAGACTACATACACACATGTCTTGTATGTGGGTGTAAGACTACATACACACATGTCTTGTATGTGGGTGTGAGACTACACACATGTCTTGTATGTGGGTGTAAGACTACATACATGTCTTGTATGTGGGTGTAAGACTACACACATGTCTTGTATGTGGGTGTAAGACTACATACATGTCTTGTATGTGGGTGTAAGACTACATACATGTCTTGTATGTGGGTGTAAGACTACATACATGTCTTGTATGTGGGTGTAAGACTACACACATGTCTTGTATGTGGGTGTAAGACTACATACATGTCTTGTATGTGGGTGTAAGACTACATACATGTCTTGTATGTGGGTGTAAGACTACACACACGTCTTGTATGTGGGTGTAAGACTACACACATGTCTTGTATGTGGGTGTAAGACTACATACATGTCTTGTATGTGGGTGTGAGGCTACATACACACATGTCTTGTATGTGGGTGTAAGACTACATACATGTCTTGTATGTGGGTGTAAGACTACATACATGTCTTGTATGTGGGTGTAAGACTACATACATGTCTTGTATGTGGGTGTAAGACTACACACATGTCTTGTATGTGGGTGTGAGACTACACACATGTCTTGTATGTGGGTGTGAGACTACATACACACATGTCTTGTATGTGGGTGTAAGACTACATACATGTCTTGTATGTGGGTGTAAGACTACATACATGTCTTGTATGTGGGTGTAAGACTACACACATGTCTTGTATGTGGGTGTAAGACTACACACATGTCTTGTATGTGGGTGTGAGACCACACGTCTTGTATGTGGGTGTAAGACTACATACATGTCTTGTATGTGGGTGTAAGACTACATACACACACGTCTTGTATGTGTGTGTAAGACTACATACACACACGTCTTGTATGTGGGTGTAAGACTACACACATGTCTTGTATGTGGGTGTAAGACTACACACATGTCTTGTATGTGGGTGTAAGACTACACATGTCTTGTATGTGGGTGTAAGACTACATACATGTCTTGTATGTGGGTGTAAGACTACATACATGTCTTGTATGTGGGTGTAAGACTACACACATGTCTTGTATGTGGGTGTGAGACTACACACATGTCTTGTATGTGGGTGTAAGACTACATACATGTCTTGTATGTGGGTGTAAGACTACACATGTCTTGTATGTGGGTGTAAGACTACACACATGTCTTGTATGTGGGTGTGAGGCTAAATACATGTCTTGTATGTGGGTGTAAGACTACACACATGTCTTGTATGTGGGTGTAAGACTACATACATGTCTTGTATGTGGGTGTAAGACTACATACATGTCTTGTATGTGGGTGTAAGACTACACACATGTCTTGTATGTGGGTGTAAGACTACATACACACATGTCTTGTATGTGGGTGTAAGACTACATACACACATGTCTTGTATGTGGGTGTAAGACTACATACACACATGTCTTGTATGTGGGTGTAAGACTACATACACACATGTCTTGTATGTGGGTGTAAGACTACATACACACATGTCTTGTATGTGGGTGTAAGACTACATACACACATGTCTTGTATGTGGGTGTAAGACTACATACACACATGTCTTGTATGTGGGTGTAAGACTACATACACACATGTCTTGTATGTGGGTGTGAGGCTACACACATGTCTTGTATGTAGGTGTAAGACTACATACATGTCTTGTATGTGGGTGTAAGACTACATACACATGTCTTGTATGTGGGTGTGAGACCACATGTCTTGTATGTGGGTGTAAGACTACACACACGTCTTGTATGTGGGTGTAAGACTACATACAAGACATGTCTTGTATGTGGGTGTGAGACCACATGTCTTGTATGTGGGTGTAAGACTACATACACACATGTCTTTTAATAACAGGTTGACACCACACAAGTGACCTTAAAAGAGAATGGTGTTCAGCTGAGACTGACCATAGTGGATACACCAGGCTTTGGGGATGCAGTTGATAATAGTAACTGGTCAGTTGTACTTGTTGGAGCCAATACATTTACTAGATTTGAACATTCGTTTTTATTATTTTTCAATGTAAATTTTGAAAACAAAAAAATAATCATACTTGGTAACCTAATATTTTAAAAGGAAAATAAATTACATTCTTTCCAAAATTAAATTTTACAATTTAATTATTACACTACAAATAATAGACAGTGTAGATATTGTACTCACAATCTTTTGTTGTTGTTTTTTTTGTTGTTTTTTTTTTTTTTTAATATTCTGAAGACAGTCATTTTTTTTAATGTTTGAGTCTGTGTTTGAGACATTACCTAATATTTGAGATATTATTTAATATCTGAGACACTATTTAATATTTGAGATATTATTTAATATCTGAGACACTATTTAATATTTGAGATATTATTTAATATTTGAGACACTATTTAATATTTGAGACACTATTTAATATTTGAGGCATTATTTAATATTTGAGATATTATTTAATATTTGAGACATTATTTAATATTTGAGACACTATTTAATATTTGAGACATTATTTAATATTTGAGACACTATTTAATATTTGAGACACTATTTAATATTTGAGACACTATTTAATATTTGAGATTTAATATTTGAGACACCATTTAATATTTGAGACACTAACATTTTTGTTTTCTTACTCAGCTGGTCCCCTGTGACAGACTTCATAGACAGTAAATATGAGGAATACCTGAATGCTGAGTCCAGGGTCAATAGGTCAACAAGTGCAGATACACGAGTCCACTGTTGTTTGTATTTCATTTCTCCTACAGGGCACGGGTAGGTACTTTACATCACTCAACATAAAGTGTAGGTTTTGTTTATATCACTCACCATAAAGTGTAGATTTTGTTAACATCACTCCAAGTAAAGTGTAGATTTTGTTTACATCACTCCAAGTAAAGTGTAGATTTTGTTTATATCACTCACCATAAAGTGTAGATTTTGTTTACATCACTCCAAGTAAAGTGTAGATTTTGTTTATATCACTCGCCATAAAGTGTAGATTTTGTTTATATCACTCACCATAAAGTGTAGATTTTGTTAACATCAGTCACCATAAAGTGTAGATTTTGTTTACATCACTCCAAGTAAAGTGTAGATTTTGTTTATATCACTCACCATAAAGTGTAGATTTTGTTTATATCACTCACCATAAAGTGTAGATTTTGTTTATATCACTCACTGTAAAGTGTAGATTTTGTTTATATCACTCACCATAAAGTGTAGATTTTGTTTATATCACTCACTGTAAAGTGTAGATTTTGTTTATATCACTCACCATAAAGTGTAGATTTTGTTTACATCACTCCAAGTAAAGTGTAGATTTTGTTTATATCACTCACCATAAAGTGTAGATTTTGTTTATATCACTCACTGTAAAGTGTAGATTTTGTTTATATCACTCGCCATAAAGTGTAGATTTTGTTTATATCACTCACTGTAAAGTGTAGATTTTGTTTATATCACTCACCATAAAGTGTAGATTTTGTTTATATCACTCGCCATAAAGTGTAGATTTTGTTTATATCACTCCAAGTAAAGTGTAGATTTTGTTTATATCACTCACCATAAAGTGTAGATTTTGTTTACATCACTCCAAGTAAAGTGTAGATTTTGTTTATATCACTCACCATAAAGTGTAGATTTTGTTTATATCACTCACCATAAAGTGTAGATTTTGTTTATATCACTCACCTTAAAGTGTAAAAGTAAAGAATCCTCTTTTGACCTAACGATGCATTGGGCAGATGAAGTGTATTTCATATATTTCTTGACCTCTGCGTGTAAAGGGATAAGGTGGTCAGCACAATGCCCAGCCGCTTTTGCTTTCCCTAACGCGAGTTAGGTACCCATCAGAGTTGGGTGGACATTCCACTAACTTGAACCCAGATTCGAACTCGATACTATCGGGTTAGCAGTTTAGCACTCCACCCTAGACCACGCCGCCCTATAGCCTAAAGTGTAGGTTTTGTTTATATCACTCACCTACACACCTAAATAATCACTGTCTGTTATTACTTTTCCGTACATAGTCTCTGTTTTTGTCTTTGTTGCTAGAAAGCCCTACACTAAGCCAAGGTCCTTAACTCATTAGGCGTTTAAAGTCCGATTGCAAGTCTGTTCAAGCATATCGTAAAATGACGCATCAAGATTATAAACTGGCAGTGGATTGACTAGCTAGCTGGGGAAAGATAGGGATGGGCGTTTGTTATTTCTTCTTACAGAAATGTTCATAACGCATTACTTTAGCCTAATTGAAATAAACTAGTATTTACTATTATTCTCATAACAAAAACTGTACCTTTGTCACCAAATTTGAAAAAAACAGCAACTGAAAAGCTGTTGCATAATATTTAAACTAAAGATAAAGGCAAAAATATGACAGTAAATATGACAGACTGTTGTTGATGTGATAACAAGATGGCCGTCTGGTTAGTCTCTAACCTACCTTGGGTTGCTTAGGTTTACTATACCATAATATACAATTGGTCAATTGAATCAATAAATCTCTTCCAAATCACTATTACTTTTATGCTCATATATGGTGCTCAATGTCAAATTTTACTTTCTAGAAGACGTTAATCCCACTTATTTTTAGAACAAAGGAGAAAGTCACTAGACCAGCGTTTACACATGATTGTGGTGCACAGATGGGTGTGTAGTGGTCAAACTATGGTTGATGCATCTTACATAATCTATGTTAAACCCCACAAAACCGCACTTTTGCTGATTTTGTACATCGATGTCATCAGTTTGAAAAATGTGTAACACAAAAATCCTTAATTCAATAAACAACAAAAGCAAGCTACTGGTTCCTATGTTAAGGATATGCAATGACTTAGCCAACCCCGATCAGAGTTAGACCAACTCATTGGTCCAATGTTACAATCTGATTCAAACCTTTTGTCTCAGGCCATCTCCTGTCCTACGGGGCACATTTAGACCCCTACGTTTACAGGAAATCTGCCCTACAGGGGCACATTTACACCCCTACGTTTACAGGAAATATGCCCTACAGGGGCACATTTACACCCCTACGTTTACAGGAAATTTGTCCTACAGGGGCACATTTACACCCCTACGTTTACAGGAAATCTGCCCTACAGGGGCACATTTACACCCCTACGTTTACAGGAAATTTGTCCTACAGGGGCACATTTACACCCCTACGTTTACAGGAAATCTGCCCTACAAGGGCACATTTACACCCCTACGTTTACAGGAAATCTGCCCTACAGGGGCACACTTCTGTAGGTCGACTTCAAAAATTGTACCTAAAGTCATTTGTGAACAAGTGCTTAAAGAATTTACTAATCAATTGTAATTTACAAGACCTAAAATGCCTTTAAGTACTTGGTCAATTGAATTATTTGTAAAAATTACTTTCATACGGTGTATTTACAAGAAGCTCAATTTCCATTAAAAATTATAAAAATGTTATGTTTATGTTCGTAACATTTTGGGAAAATGTCTAGCGTATCACTGACACATCTTGCAGACTCTGGTTTTCTGTTTCAGATTAAAGCCTTTAGATGTGGAGTTCATGAAGAGACTACATGACAAAGTCAACATTATCCCTCTCATTGCCAAGGCTGATACTTTGACTCCAGATGAATGCCGGGAATTTAAAAAAACTGTCAGTCATATTTTCATTTCAGATCATTTTGTTTTCATACTTATATAACCTCTTTGTATTTTGTCCCCTTTTAATGTGTTTAGATGATAGAATGATTTTCACACCTTCCAGATCTTGAATGAAATAGCTCAACACAAGATTAGAATCTATGAGTTCCCTGATTGTGAAGAAGAAGAAGAAATGAAGATCCAAAAAAAACTACGGGTCAGTAGGTATTAGAAACATTTTTAGAACATGGTTATTACTTGGGTCACTTAACTCCTGAACATATCTGCTCCATGGAACAGTTGTCTAGTGGAGTCACTCAACTCCTGAACATATCTGCTCCATGGAACAGTTGTCTAGTGGAGTCACTCAACTCCTGAACATATCTGCTCCATGGAACAGTTGTCTAGTGGAGTCACTCAACTCCTGAACATACCTGCTCCATGGAACAGTTGTCTAGTGGAGTCACTCAACTCCTGAACATATCTGCTCCATGGAACAGTTGTCTAGTGGAGTCACTCAACTCCTGAACATATCTGCTCCATGGAACAGTTGTCTAGTGGAGTCACTCAACTCCTGAACATATCTGCTCCATGGAACAGTTGTCTAGTGGAGTCACTCAACTCCTGAACATATCTGCTCCATGGAACAGTTGTCTAGTGGAGTCACTCAACTCCTGAACATATCTGCTCCATGGAACAGTTGTCTAGTGGAGTCACTCAACTCCTGAACATATCTGCTCCATGGAACAGTTGTCTAGTGGAGTCACTCAACTCCTGAACATATCTGCTCCATGGAACAGTTGTCTAGTGAAGTCACTCAACTCCTGAACATATCTGCTCCATGGAACAGTTGTCTAGTGGAGTCACTTAACTCCTGAACATATCTGCTCCATGGAACAGTTGTCTAGTGGAGTCACTCAACTCCTGAACATATCTGCTCCATGGAACAGTTGTCTAGTGGAGTCACTCAACTCCTGAACATATCTGCTCCATGGAACAGTTGTCTAGTGGAGTCACTTGACTCCTAAACATATCTGCTCCATGGAACAGTTGTCTAGTGGAGTCACTTAACTCCTAAACATATCTCTTGTATCACCATTAATTTTACTCTCATTAGGATCGAGTGCCCTTTGCAGTTGTTGGCAGCAACAGAGTTCTTGAGGTCGGAGGTAAAAGAGTGAGAGGTCGTCAGTACCCATGGGGAATAGTTGAAGTGGAAAACCTGGAGCATAATGATTTTATTGCTCTAAGGAATATGGTCATTAGGTTAGTATACATTCAAATATTAAACTTCCAGCCTATGTTACAGAATTACAAGTATGCCTTACGGTTACACTTTTTGTTTCTGTAAAAATTGAAATTGTCGTCAGAGTAAATTTGTGAGTTTTTTCTTTTTTTTTTAGTAGTAAATGTTGGTTTCTGATCCAAGTTTTATATTCAGCTGTTTAAAATTTCTGCTCCATTACCATGTATTTCTGGTTTACATCCATCTTAAATTTACACAAAGCGAAAAAAGTAGAAATTTATTGGGGGGGGGGGGGGGGTGACATTTGTAATTTTTTTTAAAATAAATGATTGGGGGGTGGGGGTGACATTTATGAAAAAAGTAGAAAATGATAGGTTTAGAATTATGTTGACACAACACATACAAACCTCCATATGATCCTGGTATCTAAAACCCATATTCGCACTAGGTTTAGAATTATGTTGACACAACACATACAAACCTCCATATGATCCTGGTATCTAAAACCCATATGTGCACTAGGTTTAGAATTATGTTGACACAACACATACAAACCTCCATATGATCCTGGTATCTAAAACCCATATGCGCACTAGGTTTAGAATTATGTTGACACAACACATACAAACCTCCATATGATCCTGGTATCTAAAACCCATATGCGCACTAGGTTTAGAATTATGTTGACACAACACATACAAACCTCCATATGATCCTGGTATCTAAAACCCATATGCGCACTAGGTTTAGAATTATGTTGACACAACACATACAAACCTCCATATGATCCTGGTATCTAAAACCCATATGTGCACTAGGTTTAGAATTATGTTGACACAACACATACAAACCTCCATATGATCCTGGTATCTAAAACCCATATGCGCACTAGGTTTAGAATTATGTTGACACAACACATACAAACCTCCATATGATCCTGGTATCTAAAACCCATATGCGCACTAGGTTTAGAATTATGTTGACACAACACATACAAACCTCCATATGATCCTGGTATCTAAAACCCATATGTGCACTAGGTTTAGAATTATGTTGATACAACACATACAAACCTCCATATGATCCTGGTATCTAAAACCCATATTCGCACTAGGTTTAGAATTATGTTGACACAACACATACAAACCTCCATATGATCCTAGTATCTAAAACCCATATGCGCACTAGGTTTAGAATTATGTTGACACAACACATACAAACCTCCATATGATCCTGGTATCTAAAACCCATATGCGCACTAGGTTTAGAATTATGTTGACACAACACATACAAACCTCCATATGATCCTGGTATCTAAAACCCATATGCGCACTAGGTTTAGAATTATGTTGACACAACACATACAAACCTCCATATGATCCTGGTATCTAAAACCCATATTCGCACTAGGTTTAGAATTATGTTGACACAACACATACAAACCTCCATATGATCCTAGTATCTAAAACCCATATGCGCACTAGGTTTAGAATTATGTTGACACAACACATACAAACCTCCATATGATCCTGGTATCTAAAACCCATATTCGCACTAGGTTTAGAATTATGTTGACACAACACATACAAACCTCCATATGATCCTAGTATCTAAAACCCATATGCGCACTAGGTTTAGAATTATGTTGACACAACACATACAAACCTCCATATGATCCTGGTATCTAAAACCCATATGTGCACTAGGTTTAGAATTATGTTGACACAACACATACAAACCTCCATATGATCCTGGTATCTAAAACCCATATGTGCACTTCTCTCCATTTGTCTGCCACACTTTATGACGCTGAGCTCAGAATCATTAGCAATATGTGTAGACCTTAAGGATACGTGCTTTTGTTGAGAAAAATATGATCATTACACTGAGTGTATAAAATATATTATATTTTAAGATGATAAAAATAAAGACAAAGAAAAGCACATTCAATTATTATGTAAGTGGAGAAAATATTTTTCAACAAGTACAGGAAATAGTTGTCTTCAAAGCTAACCTGGCAAGAAAGCAGATACTAGAGATACTAAAGCAGATACTAGAGATACTAACCCTAGATTTGTCCATTCAAAAGTTACCTGCTTTATAAAGCATTCTTTTATTTATTTGCTATTTCTATAAGTTTTCAACAATATTATAACTTTTCATTACTGACTGATCTTCCAATTTGAGGGTATGAAGCAATGAGGCGGACGTCCATGAGAATACTTTTGTCTGCCAAATATCAATAAAAATTTATATTAAAACCAATTTAAAGTGAATCTGCTTGGGCTCTCAATTTCTTCTGAGATCGCAGCAACGCATGACAGGGCCGGCTTAGAAATGTGTTGACACTTAAATAATATACGAGCCTCTAAAATGACAGTAAAAGCGTATTACAATTATTTTTTTTTGCCGTTTGTTGCAGTCGGGCAACTGTCTTTTGGGAAGATGTCTGGCTGCCCTGTTATATGAATCAAAAGGTGTAAAGTACTGGGGAAAATATCCTGGATTTTAAAAGAAAATTTAAATTACCTTACATTTAAGTTTTTAAAATTTTATATTTAGTTTCAGGATTTGTACAATTTGGGAGGTAAAATTTGAAGATTTTCTTTAAAAAGTCCTGAAATACATTTCTCTCCACAGGACTCACATGCAAGATCTGAAAGATGTTACCAACAATGTCCACTATGAAAACTTCCGATACAATAAGCTGGCACCATCTACAGCTGAGGGAAATAAGGTCAAGCCAGGGTCACTCACTAAGTAAGACATTCTTTGGCACTATTCTATAAAATATAGCTTTAACTGTTAACATTCATGGCATAAAAACTAGTTTCATTTTTGTACTGTCAGGTAATAACAAGAAACATTTGTCTGCGGGTAAATAAATATACTGTGGGTAGTTCCAGTGCATTAGGGCCTTTTAAAAATTTGCAATGAAAAAAGCTTTTAAACAAATTTGAAGAAAACGTTTCAACCAAAGTAAAAAGGACTAGTAATCAAGTATAAATAAGGTTTTTATTGGTATAAGTTTTAAAAAATCAAGCATGCAAACTGCAAACACATCTCGTGGTAATGGCCATAGAACAGTGACCCACCACCACTACTACAACCCGGCCTAGTATCAGAGCACTGACAACCCAGCCTAGTATCAGAGCACTGACAACCCAGCCTAGTATCAGAGCACTGACAACCCAGCCTAGTATCAGAGCACTGACAACCCAGCCTAGTATCAGAGCACTGACAACCCAGCCTAGTATCAGAGCACTGACAACCCAGCCTAGTATCAGAGCACTGACAACCCAGCCTAGTATCAGAGCACTGAAAACCCAGCCTAGTATCAGAACACTGACAACCCAAGATCCCCTGAGACAACCCAGCCTAGTATCAGAGCACTGACAACCCAAGATCCCAGAGTGTGTAGGATGTCCCAGGGTTCACCCAGCTGTGTTGTGTACCAGTGTAAGCAATGGATGCCATGTACAAGAAATTGAGTTGTCTCCCTTTTGTAAAGGAGGGAGAAGATCCTGCACCACTAGACCTGTCATCAGTTCATGTTTTAATAGAGATCTTGATCTTTGGAAACTTAATGGCCAAAAAAGATTGCCAAATTTTAAAAAGTGTCTGAACAACAAAACCAATTCATGTCTGGCAAAAGCCACATTCTTTCATTAAGTATGAAACGAAGTCGTCACAAAACTAAATAAAATCTTTACATAACTCTGGTGCATCAAAACATTATGGGACACAAAGGGTTAAAAATAATTTTTCACTGGACCTGTTATCTAAAGTAGTATAACCCCACTCTAATACTGGTAATCTTTATCTCAATTTTTTGCTCTAATTTGGCTATATTGTTAGATAAAAAGGCTTTGATTTTCTCCAGAGATCCATTAAGTCAGATGGCTGAGGAGAGAGCTGAACATAACGCAAAGATGAAAAAAATGGAGGCTGAAATGGAGCAAGTCTTTGAAATGAAAGTAAAGGAAAAGCGGCAGAAACTCAAAGATTCTGAAGCAGATGTAAGTAGCTAAGAATTTACTTTTTAATTAAATCTTCATTTTTCAAGCTTAACGAAACATTTTACATTAACTTTTTCCCCAATGTTTCTTAAGTCTCCAAAATTGTTTCTGATATTTCAAATGTCACTGTTACAAAGCGAAAAAATAGCACAGGGTCGACCGTTGCTCCGTCAAAACAGCCCTATCAATATTACACCCGTCAAAACGAACAAGGTAAGAGTGCCCTGACATATTGGCTCCCATCAAATGGGCTCCCATCAATTTGACCCGCGACATATAGGCTCCTGACGAATGGGCTCAGGACAAATTGTCTCCAGAAATATTGGCTCTCAACATAAGGGCTCACGATAACGATAAAGGGGCTCCCAACATTTTGGTCCCCGACAAAATGACTCCCAACATATTGGCTCGAGACAAATGAATCATATGACCACTATTGGCCTAAAAGTAGTCATTTTGTCCTACCTCCACTACAACTATAACCTATTTTAAATGCCTGAATGAAATTGGTCTTATTTACATTGTATGTGAACAAATACTGAAAGTTGAGGACAGTATCCAATTATTACAGAAAATCTATACTCCTGTTACTGAAAAAAAATGTGGGGGTAGTGTAATGACCGCTCTCCGACAGCCGCGGAGGGAGCGGACACCCCGGGTTCGTTCGGGATGGCACTGACAGAAGTCACACTAATGAAATCCCAACAACTTGACGTGAGCTCGTTATTGATGTCTAGGGGTAAAACACGACAAATTGAAGAGACTCAACACGACTTAAAACTGTCAATACCCTTTTAATAAGTGTACAAGACTACGACACTGGGTTTGTACAAAATGTACAGACTTTAAGAGTACAATAAATAAACTCAACACTCCAACTTACAGTTAAAGAAAATCACTATATCACAGCTGTGGATTAGTATATTAAACACCATTAAAGAACATTACTTGACACAACTGAATGGCATTATAAATACCACAAATCTTAATAAGAGACATTGTCTCTACAACAATAGAAAACCAAAAAAAGGTCAACCTATCACCGATGTGACAAAGGGTGCAATTATACACCAAAACAAAATATCATTAATACTACAAATAGTCACACAATACCTTTACAAAGGTGATAAAACATGCCACAAACTACACCACTGAAAATGGCGCACCTAACATACGGCACATATCTCTCCTAGTCCAAAGGTCAATCTGGCTGCCCAAGACATGAAAATCTGAGATTAAATACAACTCAGTATTAGGGGAGATCACTCAAAAATCATACGACTATTGGTTGAGGATTTGTTAAGGATCCTCACGGTCGCAAGATCATTGGTCGAGGATCTGCTAGGGATTAAACAATCCAATCACATGACGTGACGGAGTTCAGTTGACCGATGTGAACCGGTGAACTAACAACTCTCCCAAGGTCAATCACATAACTCAGGAGACTAAATAATATAAATAAATAAAAAAGACCTCAGTAGGTCACAGTCGGCAGCCCTGCTGGAGCCTCTTTGTTGGGAGTCGTAATGACAGGGGCCATTTTGTCGAGAGCCAAATTGACTGGAGCCTATATGTTGGGAGCCTACATGATGGGAGCTTTTTTGACTGGAGCCCATTTGTTAGGAGCCTATATAACGGGAGCCTATATGACAGGGTCCATTAGTCGCTGACCCTTTTGATGGGGTCCATTTGACAGGACTCTTATGTTACGGCCATTTTGTCATTGGCAGTTTTCACGCACAACGCGATCGACCCTACACTATAGCCTGGTTTTTATGATTTGATACAAATGACTCAACAGGATTGCATTGGTTCATTCCATGGTTTATTGTGCACTAGCTCAATAGACACGGACAATGACTTTCACAACTTAAACGAAGACAACTACATTCACGACAGATGAATACCTCCACACCCTAACACAACAGGACGAAGACTGTCCTAAATTACTTCCCCCAGCAACCAGATCCAAATGCACGTCCTTACGCACCTCGTCACCCAGTCAGCACACAAATTCTCATATCCTTGCAATACACTGAGATATCATTCATAATTTGTGCCCAATATTTCTGACTAGCCTTCGGTACCCGTTACACGTGAATAAGGGCCTATATATTTTTAATGTAATACATATTTGTGTAACTAGGGTAGTTACCATACTATTGTAAGAACGTATTACAGTCTGATGCAACAGGTGTTGGACTGATAAGCCACAGCGTATTTTGGGAAGCAATACGACAAAGCCGCTGCGCAGTCACAGTCTGACGTAATAGTGCAGGTGGTCTAATAATCGGACTGTACGACAGAGCTGCGCAATTAATATTCTGATGCAACGATTAGAATAGATTACGAATACGATTACGAATACAAGGGATATATAGGAAGGCGAGAGTTGAGAAGTGGAAGCCGAACTGTAGAGACGTGTTGGAGGAGTATCAAGTTGGTTACTGAACGGGGTAGACGTATTGTGTTATGTGAGGATAGGAATTATGGACACGTGCATTCTGTTATGTGAGGACTAGTGAGGACAGTGGGGGTCAGCTGGTTCATTGTATTCTTGTGGAACATTGGTGCATTGTTATGTGGAGCCTTTCTATTGATTCATGTAATAAAGAGATCAATGTAAACCTGCATTTCCGAGTATCTATATTGTGGTCGATGTTGTGTGCTGGTCAAAGGTAGCACGAGTAAATACACTCGGTAACATTTGGCGCTGTCAGCAGTGAAATCGGTAACATTTGGCACTACAAGCAAATAGACTCGGTAACATTTGGCGTTGTCGAGCAGAAGAATTCAACTAGACCAGCCGCTAGGGCACCTTTAGTCAACCTAGTTAATAACTGTTTCGTGTGTGTGAATTCGGACATTCAGGAACAGGGAAAAGTATTCTTACATACACGGTAGGAAAGGTCTTTTTTTTTTACTCAAAGAATTAAAATTAGAATGTCTACTCTGGACGAGAAGCAGACCCATGTTGTGGTCCTGCCCAGAGAGTCCCACATCAACAAATTTTACGGGGACGGTGATCCAACCTTAACCAACAGGTTCAGTGAAGAGGTCAAAGCTGCCTGGGCCTCGAGATACATGGCACCAGAGGAAAGATTAAGATTGTTGATGGGCAGTATAGGAGAGACGGTTAGGGCAGAGGTCAAATGCCACGATAAAACCATCCAAACAGATCCAGATAAGGTGCTAGATCTAATTGAGGAGACCTTTGGGGAGAGACGGTCGGGATCGCAACTGCTATCGGGTTTCGTAGGCTTAAAGCAGAGAAAGGCGGAGAGTGTGATGGAATATTCACACCGAATGAACAGGGCCTTTGATGCGGTAAAGGGCAAAACACCCGACATTGATGTGCGCCTGCTGAGGGACCATTTCATCGAGGGGCTAGCAACCCCTATCTTAAGGAGATATTTGAAAGAAGAGGTCTACAAAGACCCACAGTTGACCTTCCTTCAGGTCAGGAACTCAGCGATCCGCAGGTCCGAGGATGAGGACCAATCGAACTGTTAGGTAGACAAAGTCTCTGTGCCGGAACAGAAACAATCCCCACCCACAGGGACCGGCACGATGGAAACCATGATGGCTCAACTGTTGGCCCACCTGGATAAGGTTGACCAACGATTGGAGAGGTTAGAAAGCAGGTCAACAGCAGAGAATCAGGGCAAAAACGGGACAAAACATAGACGGGTTGGACAGCCGCGACCTGCTGGTCCATCACTCCAGTGGACAGCTGACGGTCGACCAATCTGCCTGTCCTGCTCACAACCCGGACATATGGCACGGTACTGTTCGGGGAAACGATGGCACTCTGTAAGGCAGGGTCAGGCTACAGAGGGGCGAGGTTATGGCCTAAGAAACAAAATGATGGGAGTCTGTCCCGAAATGATGATTACGATCGGGGACATCGCGGTGAAGGCAATTGTGGATACAGGCTCCCAGGTGACGACAATTACGGAACAATTTTACACCAAATGGATGAAAGGAAAAGACCATAGGTTGAGGTCTGACACATGCATGCGCCTAACGGCAGCTAATGGATTAACCATTCCATACTGTGGTTATTTTCTGGCGGATGTCGTGGTGGCGGGACATAGGTTGAAGCAGGTTGGGGTGTTCGTTACGAAACACAACCTAGAGACAAATGTGTCAAATATACCTTGCCTGTTGGGAATGAATATCCTTGGCCAGTTGCCAGAATTTCTTACAAATATTGTCGGATCGACCACACCAGGTCGGGGATCCAAGTTGGCCAGGTTTGCCAAGACCAGAGGAAGGACATCAGTCCCGGCAAACACGGTCAAGGCAATCACATTACAAATTGGTGAGAGAAGCGTGAATGGTGATGTGATGATAGAACCATGTGGCGCCGCACTGAGGGCAGGCGTCATGTTACTGCGGACATACACATCAGCAGAAAATGGACTGGTTCTAGGGTTAGTGGCAAATGTATTGGATGAGGAAATTTTTATACCGCCTAACACTCTGATAGGAGTACCACAGAACGTCGAGGTACAAAGGTCGGCACAGTGCATCGAACTGATCAATACCAGCAGTAATGAAGTAACAATTAGGTCGGTCAATGTGACGGCCGAGGTGAAGAAAGAGGATGGCCGATCATATACATTCCCGGAAACTGAGGACCCAAAATTAAATGAATTACTGAATAAGTACAGGGATATATTTGCCTCGTACGAGGGTGATTTGGGGTACACGGAAGTAATAAAACACCAGATACCCTTACTACAAGACAAGCCTGTGGCGCAACCTTATCGAAGATTACCACCAAGTCACTACTCTGCGGTGAAAGCACACCTGAACGATCTACTAAAAAAGGGAATTATTACAACCAGCACAAGCCTGTATGCGGCACCGATAGTAGTGGTAAAAAAGAAGTCAGGGGAGATAAGACTGTGTTGTGATTACCGGAAATTGAACAATATCACAAGAAGGGATGCATTCCCCTTGCCTCGTATTGATGAATGTCTTGATGCGTTGGGGGGAGCAAGATTTTTTTCTACCTTGGATTTGGCTAGTGGCTACCACCAAGTGGCCATGCACCCCAACGATCAACATAAGACTGCATTTATTTCTCCACTAGGACTGTACGAGTAAACCCGTATGCCGTTTGGTCTAAATAATGCGCCTGCTACATTCCAGCGAGTAATGCAAAGTGCTATGAGTGACTTTCTATTTCAAATAATGTTGGTGTACTTGGATGATATACTAGTTTACTCAAAAACTTGGGAGGACCATCTAGAAAGATTAGAACAAGTGTTTCTCCGTCTTAGAGAGATAGGAGTAAAGCTGAACCCAGACAAATGCGGCTTCGGTCTGAAATCGGTACGTTTTTTGGGTTATGTGATTTCGTCGGATGGCATCGCCACTGACCCAGATAAAATTGCAGCTGTTAAAGAATGGAAACAGCCAACAACCACAGTAGAGGTCAGATCATTCTTGGGCTTTGCTTCCTATTATAGAAAATTTGTACCTGGTTTTGCAAAAATTGCCGCACCGTTGCATGACTTGGTAAACAAAATGACAAAGAAACACAGTAAGGAGAAAAAGAAAGGCAAAACACAACTGATAGGTGAATTATGGACTGAGGAATGCCTGAACTCGTTTAAGCTACTGAAAAAGGCTTTGACAGAGGCGCCGATATTAGGATACGCAGACTTTGACAAACCATTTCGGCTAGAAATTGACGCCAGCTCTAAAGGTCTGGGAGCTGTACTATCACAACAACAAGAGCAAGGTTTCAGGGTTATTGCGTATGCCAGTCGAGCTCTGAAGGAATCAGAGAAGAACATGACAAATTACAGCGCCATGAAACTAGAACTTTTGACATTGAAATGGGCTGTGACTGAAAAATTCAGGGACTATCTATTAGGTGCTAAATGTGTGGTATACACTGACAATAACCCCCTGAGTCACCTACAGACAGCAAAGTTGGGATCCATCGAACAGCGATGGGCAGCAGAATTGGCACTCTTTGACCTAGAGATAAAATATCGCCCGGGGCGGTCCAATGGCAATGCGGACGCTTTATCAAGGAATCCTTACGAGAGACCGGGCGATGAGGAAGAAACACTGACAGGAATATGTGAGGTCAGAGCGTCAACAGATATCCCTCACGGGGTGCAAGTGATGCAAAACGGGCAGACCGGGGTGGAGCACACATCCACAGAGCCCCGACATATGGACATCGGTGATTTTAATTGCCTTAATCACAAAGAGATAAGAGATGCCCAGAGAACGAATAGTGGGTTACAGCCGCTGTTGAAATACGTCCAGGAACAAAAATTCCCAAGAAGAAGGGAAAGAGAACAGTTTGGTCGGGAAACAAAGAAAATACTGAGTCAGTGGGACCGTCTCAGTATAAAGGATGGTGTTCTCATGCGGAGAATTCATGACCAAATAGACGGGACAATACACCAGGTGGTGGTGCCTGGACAGTTACGAGAAGAAGTGCTAAAGTTGGCACATGACAGGGCGGGACACCAGGGTCAGGACAGGACGCACAAAATATTACGACGGCGGTGCTTCTGGCCCAATATGGAGATGGAGGTCAAACGCCATTGTGAGGCTTGTGTGAGGTGTCAGCATGCGAAAATGCCAGTTGTCAAAATGAGACAGCCATCGGGACACCTATTAGCGACAAAACCACTAGAGATTGTGGCTATGGACTTTACGTCGTTGGAGCAATCATCGGATGGGACGGAACATGTGTTGGTAGTGACTGATGTATTCACCAAATGGACTGTGGCGGTGCCCACACGAGATCAGACGGCCAAAACAGTGGCAAAGGTCTTAATAGAACATTGGTTCATCAAATATGGCATACCAAGACAATTACACTCTGACCAAGGAAGGGCCTTCGAGTCAGAAGTAATTAACCAACTGTGCAGCCACTACGGGATCAACAAATCTAGAACAACCACATATAATCCTAAAGGAAACGGACAGTGCGAGCGGTTCAACCGCAGCATGCATGATTTGCTGCGTACTCTAGAACCTGAACAGAAAAAACGTTGGCCTGATTTTCTCCCAGAGTTGGTATATCTATACAACTGCACCCCCCATGCCACAACCGGCTTTTCACCACACATGTTACTGTTCGGACGGGAGGCTCGACTCCCTCTGGACTTGTTCCTAGGAAAAAAGGAAAGTATGACTGGCTCATACACCGCACTGGAATATGTGAATGAACATATGAGACGAATAAGAGAAATGTACAGGGTGGTACAAGGAAGACTAGAACATGAAGCACGGCGAAGAGAACCGCGGGTACAGACAAAAGACCCGCCACTCCAACTAAACGACAAACTGCGTAGCCACCCATTAGGCAGAAACAAAATCCACGACCTCTGGGGACAGGAGATATGGCAAGTCGTGGAGATGCCTAAAGTAGCAGGTTGCCCCTTTAAAATAAGACCCACCAATCACACCAAACCGGATCGGTGGGCGAATATTGCTCAATTAAAGAAATATTGGCATAGTCAAGAAGAGCATTTACACACAAAGAAACCTAAGACAATTAGGGAACCGGAAACTACAACGGAAATTCTCATACCCATCCCGGAACCATGTCACCATCAACAGCACAACAGCGATACACAAGTGGAGGATAACGGCAACAATGAGGATCCCGGTCCTCCCAGAAGCAGAGAGACAGTAGAACAGCAGATAAGTGGTCCGCGGAGAAGTTTGAGAAACAGAAAGAATACGAAATTTTTCGTCAGCAACCATCAATTCTTTCATGGTCGCGCTGGGATGAGAACAGACTGTTCAAAAGCTATAAAATTGAACTGGTGAAGACACCAAACGAAAAAAGGCGGAGGTGGATGTGAATTCTAGAACTGCTTTGTGTCTGAGGAATATGATGTAGACACATTTGATATGTGAAATAGGGATAACTGTCAATCTTATACGAATGTGACGACATTGACAGTGAGTGGAACAATAAATTTTTTTTTACGGTGTTGCGCTTGACATTGAAGGAGTGCACCTGCCAAGCGTTGTTTGTGGTTGAAAACACACAAAAAAAAGGCGGGGGTGGATGTAACTAGGGTAGTTACCATACTATTGTAAGAACGTATTACAGTCTGATGCAACAGGTGTTGGACTGATAAGCCACAGCGTATTTTGGGAAGCAATACGACAAAGCCGCTGCGCAGTCACAGTCTGACGTAATAGTGCAGGTGGTCTAATAATCGGACTGTACGACAGAGCTGCGCAATTAATATTCTGATGCAACGATTAGAATAGATTACGAATACGATTACGAATACAAGGGATATATAGGAAGGCGAGAGTTGAGAAGTGGAAGCCGAACTGTAGAGACGTGTTGGAGGAGTATCAAGTTGGTTACTGAACGGGGTAGACGTATTGTGTTATGTGAGGATAGGAATTATGGACACGTGCATTCTGTTATGTGAGGACTAGTGAGGACAGTGGGGGTCAGTTGGTTCATTGTATTCTTGTGGAACATTGGTGCATTGTTATGTGGAGCCTTTCTATTGATTCATGTAATAAAGAGATCAATGTAAACCTGCATTTCCGAGTATCTATGTTGTGGTCGATGTTGTGTGCTGGTCAAAGGTAGCACGAGTAAATACACTCGGTAACATTTGGCGCTGTCAGCAGTGAAATCGGTAACATTTGGCACTACAAGCAAATAGAGTCGGTAACATTTGGAAATAATAAGTTATAAAATAGTTATTGATCAAAATGCTACACTACACGTTGAGATATTAGTGACAAAACAAAGAAATAACTAAATAGCTAATAATCCGGCACATTTAAATAAACAAAGACTACCAATATCCTAATATTTTATAAAATAGTTATTATGTTGTTGTTTTTTTAAAAGTAATTTGAATTAGTATGACCGATAAAATTGTATATATTTCATAGCGTATGTCTTGATAAATATTTTGCGGAGAGAGAGAGAGAGAAGTGCGCACATAGGCTTTTATATATTAGGATGTCACTAAACTTGTTCCCACTATTTTTTTACTTTTTTCTAGCTACAAAAACGCTCTGAACAAATGAAAAAAAGTCTTGAACAGCAGCAGAAAGAACTTGATGATAAATGGAAAGAATTTGAGAAGGAGAAAGCATCATGGGAGGAGCAATGGGGGGAGAGGCGACGCTCTCTAGAGAACCAAAAAGAGTGAGTAAATTGTTGTCTATCTGTCAGACCTGGTGTTCACCCAGAGAAATAAATTTTAAAAAAAATTGTAGTGGAGATACTATTCAGGTTCTTGTCATAGAAATTGTTATTACGGTGTTGATTATTTGACCTGACACTTAACATATGAACCATGAACAGGGATGTGACTTTTCAAAAAAAAATTGAAAATCTACTTTTTTCTGTTTTTGAGTTAACTTTATTTTCTCTTAACATATTCTGCTATTTTTATTTTAGCTTTTTGCTGCTTTTTATGACATTTTAAAAATTCAGGAAAAAACCAGTGACCTCTACGGAAACAGCCAACATGGGCATTACATGCTTTCCTATTTAAATAGAGTATTATGCTTAGTCTAACAATTCCAGATCTATTGTTCATTTTTTTTTGTCACTCCATTCAAACGGACAATCAAATACATGCATTTCTTTTCAATTAGACAATTACGTTAGTTCTGAAGGTACTCGAGACTTTTCGGGTTTAGCAACCATCGACCACGCCAACGCCTTTGCGGTATTTTAACTCACCCTCTGTTTTTAAAAACTACCCACTCTACAGTCTCTCTGCCTTCAGTTATGTGATCTCACCATGACCCCACGTACGTGTTTGTTTTTTTAGGTTTGGAGGATATATAAAAGGGATGTCACAGTCAGTCTCAAATAGCAATGTTCATGTTATGACATGTCTCATTTGTGTGAGAAAAAATATGATAACAAGTTTTACAATGGTTATTTTAGTTTTGCATGTCTTAATTCTAAAACACTTTTTAAGATAAGTATTAGACCCTTTCTAATTTCAGCTAATCCATGACATGAACTAGAACTATTAGTCTAGATCTTGGCTCTTTACTATTGAAGACTTACTTTTTTTATCATGTTTACCTTAAGGATATTAGACATAATTTAAAATTGAAAACAAGAGTACAAATAGATCATTACAATTTAAATTAGCTTAATGTTATAATAAATTGTCAATCAAATTGTAAACTTTTAAAAGTCGTTCACACTGGTAACATTAAATTGCAGTTGACTGGACTGTTATTTTATTTAAAATATTAGCTATATAAAATATTAAATTAATTAGTACAACAATAAAGGTGTGAGACTTCTTTAACCAAGGTAAAAACAAATATAAGTCCCATTCCAAACTAATGTCCTATTTTTCAAGGTCTTGTCACATCCCTGCATAACATGTGACCCATATGACCCCTGACACTTAACCTGTGACCCATATGACCCCTGACACTTAACCTGTGACCCATATGACCCCTGACACTTAACATGTGACCCATATGACCTCTGACACTTAACCTGTGACCCATATTACCCCTGAATGTTAACCAATTTGGATGTTGTGCCAGCTCCCCTACATCCAGGGCCAAGAAGTGGATGTCACTCAAGGTATTATTAGTTCTATGTTGATACACCTGTGCTTGTTCACACATCCATAAGTAAACAGTAACACATCTGTTTATTGACAGTCACATATCTGTTAATTGACAGTCACATATCCATTTCTCAACATTTGGCTCTAGATAATAACATGGGTGTATCAGCTTTTGTATTTTATTTTTTTAACTATTTTAATGCTGTGTTTGTAAGGGGCTCTGTACAGTCCCATCCATGGGTTCGTTAGGGGCTCTATACAGTCCCCTGGGTTAGGGGCTCTGTACAGTCCCCTGGGTTGGTTAAGGGCTCTATACAGTCCCCTGGGTTGGTTAGGGGCTCTATACAGTCCCCTGGGTTAGTTAGGGGCTCCATACAGTCCCCTGGGTTAGGGGCTCTATACAGTCCCCTGGGTTAGGGGCTCTATACAGTCCCCTGGGTTAGGGGCTCCATACAGTCCCCTGGGTTGGTTAGGGGCTTTATACAGTCCCCTGGGTTAGGGGCTCTATACAGTCCCCTGGGTTAGGGGCTCTATACAGTCCCCTGGGTTAGGGGCTCTATATAGTCCCCTGGGTTGGTTAGGGGCTCCATACAGTCCCCTGGGTTAGGGGCTCTATACAGTCCCCTGGGTTAGGGGCTCTATACAGTCCCCTGGGTTAGGGGCTCCATACAGTCCCCTGGGTTGGTTAGGGGCTCTATACAGTCCCCTGGGTTGGTTAGGGGCTCTATACAGTCCCCTGGGTTAGTTAGGGGCTCCATACAGTCCCCTGGGTTAGGGGCTCTATACAGTCCCCTGGGTTAGGGGCTCCATACAGTCCCCTGGGTTGGTTAGGGGCTTTATACAGTCCCCTTGGTTAGGGGCTCTATACAGTCCCCTGGGTTAGGGGCTCTATACAGTCCCCTGGGTTAGGGGCTCTATATAGTCCCCTGGGTTGGTTAGGGGCTCCATACAGTCCCCTGGGTTAGGGGCTCTATACAGTCCCCTGGGTTAGGGGCTCTATACAGTCCCCTGGGTTAGGGGCTCCATACAGTCCCCTGGGTTGGTTAGGGGCTCTATACAGTCCCCTGGGTTGGTTAGGGGCTCTATACAGTCCCCTGGGTTAGTTAGGGGCTCCATACAGTCCCCTGGGTTGGTTAGGGGCTCTATACAGTCCCCTGGGTTGGTTAGGGGCTCTATACAGTCCCCTGGGTTAGGGGCTCTATACAGTCCCCTGGGTTAGGGGCTCTATACAGTCCCCTGGGTTAGGGGCTCTATACAGTCCCCTGGGTTAGTTAGGGGCTCTATACAGTCCCCTGGGTTAGGGGCTCTATACAGTCCCCTGGGTTGGTTAGGGGCTCTATACAGTCCCCTGGGTTGGTTAGGGGCTCTATACAGTCCCCTGGGTTGGTTAGGGGCTCTATACAGTCCCCTGGGTTAGGGGCTCTATACAGTCCCCTGGGTTAGGGGCTCTATACAGTCCCCTGGGTTAGGGGCTCCATACAGTCCCCTGGGTTAGGGGCTCTATACAGTCCCCTGGGTTAGGGGCTCCATACAGTCCCCTGGGTTGGTTAGGGGCTCTATACAGTCCCCTGGGTTAGGGGCTCCATACAGTCCCCTGGGTTGGTTAGGGGCTCTATACAGTCCCCTGGGTTAGGGGCTCCATACAGTCCCCTGGGTTGGTTAGGGGCTCTATACAGTCCCCTGGGTTAGGGGCTCTATACAGTCCCCTGGGTTAGGGGCTCTATACAGTCCCCTGGGTTAGGGGCTCTATACAGTCCCCTGGGTTAGGGGCTCCATACAGTCCCCTGGGTTAGTTAGGGGCTCTATACAGTCCCCTGGGTTAGGGGCTCTATACAGTCCCCTGGGTTAGGGGCTCTATACAGTCCCCTGGGTTGGTTAGGGGCTCTATACAGTCCCCTGGGTTGGTTAGGGGCTATATACAGTCCCCTGGGTTAGTTAGGGGCTCTATACAGTCCCCTGGGTTAGGGGCTCTATACAGTCCCCTGGGTTAGTTAGGGGCTATATACAGTCCCCTGGGTTGGTTAGGGGCTCTATACAGTCCCCTGGGTTGGTTAGGGGCTCTATACAGTCCCCTGGGTTAGGGGCTCTATACAGTCCCCTGGGTTAGGGGCTCTATACAGTCCCCTGGGTTAGGGGCTCTATACAGTCCCCTGGGTTAGGGGCTCTATACAGTCCCCTGGGTTGGTTAGGGGCTCTATACAGTCCCCTGGGTTAGGGGCTCCATACAGTCCCCTGGGTTGGTTAGGGGCTCTATACAGTCCCCTGGGTTGGTTAGGGACTCTATACAGTCCCCTGGGTTAGGGGCTCTATACAGTCCCCTGGGTTAGGGGCTCTATACAGTCCCATCCATGGGTTGGTTAGGTGCTCTTTACAGTCCCCTGGGTTAGGGGCTCTATACAGTCCCCTGGGTTAGGGGCTCTATACAGTCCCCTGGGTTGGTTAGGGGCTCTATACAGTCCCCTGGGTTAGGGGCTCTATACAGTCCCCTGGGTTAGGGGCTCTATACAGTCCCCTGGGTTAGGGGCTCTATACAGTCCCCTGGGTTAGTTAGGGGCTCTATACAGTCCCCTGGGTTGGTTAGGGGCTCTCAATTCTCTGAAAAATTCTTTAGTAGGCATTTGAGGTTCCATTTGAATTTGTTCAGTTTTATTTTTGTACTAATAATTGGTTTTTGTTAATAATTTTAAATAACTTTTATTTTTTCGGGTTATTTTATTTTTAAATTCTACTTTTAAAATTTTTTAAATTCTAACTTTTAAAAATATGATGAAGATAGATCCAGTTATAGCTTATATTCAAAGAGGTTATCTATGAAATGTATTCAACCATCTATATACTATTCACTTAAAATCACAATAAGATGAATAAAATATTCTTGTTATAGAAAAGTTTGTGGCAGTTGTTTTTACCCAGGACAAATAAAGGGATCATGTGATCAGCACTATGCCCAGCCACCTGTGTGATCAGCACTATGCCCAGCCACCTTTACTTTTCACAGTACCCATCAGAGCTGGGTTGACACAAGACATCTTACACACACACGCAATTCATTTATTTCAACACTTTTGTGTTAGCAATATGAGGGTTTACTGTTAGCAGCTCCAATGTAATAACAAATATAGAAGTGCTGTGTGTACTTTTTAAAATTCTGCTTTAGCTATTTTATTTTTTTTTAAACAGTAAAAAGGCCAAGAAAGGTTTGTTCTAGAGATGAGCCCTCCTCTTGCATCTTTGAAGAGACAAATTTGTTCTGCAATAGATTCATCAACAGTTATCTGCACATGGCAAGAGATTGAACAAAAATGATGTGCACTTAAATGCTGTCCACAAGTATTGAGTGCCTCAGTTGTTGTATTGTAATCCCATGTTGTACTGTACTCCTAAAAGACTTGGTCCATCAGGACTAGACCAACTCATGTGTTCATGTCTGCTCAGCATCTAATTAGCTGATCAGTCTAAACATTTTTTTTCTGCTTGTGCTGTTTGCATGTTTTCATATCTGACGTTTTGCCTACTTGCGTTAGCCCAGTCATATTGATGTTTGATTACCACTGGCTAACCAGTTAATGTCAACAATTTGATGTTTTTTGCATGTCATGTAAGAATATTTATAAGTTGCTTCTTCTTTGCTAGAATCTCCTCAGTGGAGACCCAAAGTTATGCCTGTGGCATTTTTTTTTTACCTTTTTGATCTAACATGTAGAAAATAATGTGCACCTAACCCAAATGTTGCTTAAGGCAGCTGACATTTGATTTGTCACTTAATAAAAGAATCATGCAATATGTTCTTTTTTGTTTGATTTGTGTTTTTTTATATTACAATTTTAAAATCAGCTGAAGCTTTAAAACATACTTGGATTCTAAATAAAAAAATTTAAATGAGAGATTTGGGAAAATTTAATATTGGTGAAAATAAATGTTTCCAATTACAAGCTGCTATGGATCAGCAATTTTCTGAGTCATCGAATCATGTTACGGGAAATTTTTAAATGTTGTTAAATAAAATCAGCTCTCATAGCCATAGATTTTTTTTTCCTAATAAAACATCTAGTTGAGTAGTCACTAATCAGTGTTTAAAATATGATAAAGGAAAAAATGCTGAACGCTATATTTTTGTTATTTCTTCATTACATGTATAAACTTTATGTAATTTATTATAAACTATTTTTTTTTGTTTCTAGTAGATGCATGTTTGACCTCTAACATATTATCAAAATATTTTTCAAGGCTGATGAAGTCTATTGGAATTTTATTTTGTCAGCTCTAACAAATTAAACTGCAAGTCTTACACCTTATTCACTGGTCAAAACAAGTTTTCAAGGCGCAAATACTTAAGTTAGTCATTTATCAAATGTAAGAAAAAATCTGCTTCATGTATTTTTATATTTTTAAACCTTTTAATAGTTTGAAAAATTTGAAGAATAAAATTGTGAGAAAGGATCTTTGCACATGATGTATTCCTTGTCATTAGTTGAGGTCTGAACATCTGATCACATTCAAACATCAATTTCACTTTGTGTTCTTATGTTAACCTTTTTTTTTAAACTTTGTAACAACTGCGTTTTTTAACTTCTATTACACAGCTTTTGATCAGCGCTCATTTTAATTGAAAATAAAATTTGTTTTCAAATGGTAAAACTACATCAGGTATTTTTTAAATTTTATTTCAACTTTAAAAAGTGTTTTTATATAGTTTTCAAATCAAAAAAGTATATCACAAGTTTTTAAGTGCTTTTTATATTAGTAATATATAAAGCTCAAATGGACTCTGTGTGTGACAGCGGATCCGTGGAACACGTGCATCAAGTAAAAAACTCGACTTGATTGCTTTAACAACAGTAATATTGCTGATAAGGATGATACTGTTGTTTTGGGTTCGTTCATCCAAGAATACGAGAAACAGTGCTTTGTAACTTCAAACTTTATTTACATGGATCCATAAGAATAATTTTTCTACTGTGGAATATTATTATTACATTATAGTCTAGAACAAACTGACGTGGTGACATCTTACTACACAGTCACAGGCAAGCACCCTTGTTCATCTTGTGCTCCACCTTTTATACGTTACATTCTCTCCCCTTACGTCAATGAGCGATCTCACAAAAGCATGGGAAAATACATGACGAGTCGCTCAGACAGTCCTTCCGTTAGCCAGGTACTCTACATTCATGCAACTTCATGTAAAACACAATATAATAAACATACCCAATAATTCTGTGACAATGGCCTTAGTGTAGTCTTACTGGGAACTGCACAAACTTGTTGGAAATTAAGAGTTCTTGAGATGCATGACTATTGCAGATACAATATCCTAACAATGCAATAATCAGGTTTTATTTAACTGAGCTCTCAATAAGAAAAATTTGTAGTAATAGAATAAAGTGGAAGTGATCTCTGTTATGTAGTCATCTGTGTGCTTTGTTTTGATGGTGGTGATGACTGCAGTGAGGGTTGAGGTAACAGTTTAAGCCCTGATTTAATGCCAACACACGTACAATTTTAAGACTTTTAATAAACGAAATAAACTAGCACAGAGTTCTGCCACGGAGCACAAGACACACACTTCCACACGATAACAAGTCTAGCATTCAACTTACTTAATTCATTCACGCGGCCCCAACTTCACCCTAAGGTAACCCAACCCCTGCCTAACCCCAGCAGTCCTGCGAGGGGCGGGGTGCCTGACCTGCATGCATTAACTCAAACTTTGTTACGACTGGGACAACTACAGGCTATTCTGACTTGTATCTAGTAAGGGGACGTTCAATCAAATACACTAAGGGCTATTCCTATTACAGTTATTATGATCTATCTAATCTACAGTTAAACAATATAATAGTGTGGACATAAATACTATTAAGATTTAAACGATATTCTATCCGTTTTCTATCCTATGTTAATCCCAGTTATAACAATCTCCCCTAAACTTTCTGATACTCTAATTCTTGTAGAACAGTACAATTTAGCTAAAGATATATAGAAAGAAGTTTGTGATAAAAAGTACTCATTTTTCGAGAAAACCCATCAGGGCAAAAAGTCTTTAAAAATAGCATTTGATGATCTTAAACAAGGACAATGTGCCAGAAACCTAACTAAACTTAGGGTCATGGGTCAGGGCTTCACTTTAAAACAAATAATTAATATTCAGGCCTATAAAAACAAATAGTATTTATGCATCATTAGCTTAAAGTTAATCAGAGAAACTAGAATCTAGATAACACAATAACTGAGTTTTTTACTGAACTATTTCAGCCCTTAAATATTTCACATTAATCTTAACATTGGAATAGTTAAAATTAGGATATAATTTAATTAAAACAATTATTTACTATATTATTATGGAGAGTATGCTAAATAATACACAATATGGAACCTAAGTAGGTATTGTCAATTTTTTTGTTTGAATGTTCCCACCAAGAAAGTGGACAGAGGAAAATCTTAAAGCATTCGAATGGCACTAAATTATTGCTATTTTTTTTTTGGTTTAATAATTTAATTTATTACTCATATGAGGTTCACACAAGAAAGTTTGTTTCCAAATAAAAAATACAAATGGGGTGCACCAATGCAATGCATACACAAGGACATGCTACTAGTATTGCTACCTCTACCTGCATAGAAAAATATACAAATCAACATTAATGCATACACACAAGGAATGTGCTACCTCGCACAGCTCAGTTGCTCTGCTACTATGGTATAAAATTAAAACACCCCTTCCTGTTAACAAAAAATGACATGAAAGTTGAAAAAAACAAGTGTGTACAGTTCTTTAGAAATGTAATGTTTTAAAAGGTTTTTTTATTATTCTTTTAAGTGCACACATGTCTCACTCTCTGTCAGCAACATTTTTTCCAAGGCTAAGAGATCAATATCTTCAGCAATGTAATTATGGAGAACTAAATGACACAGACTTTTGTTGGTTGTATTAAAAACTAAATTTTATTTAAATTTAAAGAAGGAATATAAAAATAAAGGCATATTCGAATGTAGAAACATTTTTATTACACAATGTATACAATTTTCTCGCCCAAAACTAATAATTACTTTAAAAACAACATAAATAAGAATACCATTAAACAGCGATGTTTTTAAATGAATCATTAAAGTCTCTTAATCAATAAGTGCATTTTATATAGTGTTGTGTTGACTAATAATGTATATAATTTGGTTTTAATCTTTCTAATAGGTATCGGTAGCATATGTTATTTTAAATGTGTCAGATTTTTAGCTACTTAGTTATTTCTTTGCTTTGTCACTATCATCATTCAACGTGTAGTAAAGCACATTGTGTTTTGACCAATAACTATTCTATAAATTATTTTCTTAAAGAAGTATAACAGTAACAATATATAGGCCTATAATTCACACTTAACGGTTACCGATGGCTAGTTTTTTAATAGAATAGAATTTTAAAAACACAAGGTGCACAAAATTAACACAAACAATGTGTATAATAGAGTGGAAACAATTGAATATTTAATAGGGTCACATTTTGCATCACAATGCATGTCATAAAGTCTTGACATATGTGAGAAGTTTAAAAGAAATCAGTAATGTAGAAAGTAGGAGAAAAATTTTTACAAGTTTCTGCCCATGATGGATGAAAGACAGAGGAATCAAACAAAATAAAAGCTTGTAATTATCAAATTAGATCTGAGTAAAATAAGCCATCCAGTTATCAGAAATTGCTCAAAAGGAGCTAATACTTGTGTGAAATTTAGTCCACCTTGCTGAAATGGCACCTAAGTTATCGGTAAATACAAATAATTATAATTATTTATTATATCTACAAATCTTTAAATAATTACTCTAGCTTGTTATTCAGACTGTTTGTTATTACTTTCAGTATGCTGTTAATTAACCCTCCCCTTCTCATATCAATGTTGTCTTCTGCTGCCACTTTTAAAAAAGGCTGAGAAAATTCAGAAATTTTATACTTAAAGTTAAAGAATCAATTTAATTGTTAAAATATGTGCAAATGAAGAGAAACTTAAAATCTATTTGTTTTTGTTGTTTTGTTTTTTTTGCTTTAAGGCTACAATATTATTTAATTATATCATTTGATTGGTTAAATAGATCTAGAATAGGGGTTTACAAGTTTTTGGTGTTGTAGTATAACTTTTAAAAAAAAAAACATGTTTTGCTTCATGACCTAGTTCATAAACTACATTTATTTTATTTTAATAACACTCCACTGATTTTTTAAATATTTAAATAAAACTTTTCAGCCTTTCCCCACTGCGGCCCTTTATTGTGCAGACAAATTAGAAACAGATTCTTAAACAGACTGGACCATTAACTATAATTAACATTAGCAAATAATGCTGGTATAAATATTTTATAAATACACTATCTACACTGTAAGGTAAATTATAGGCAGGACACACAAATATGCACAGTTAAAGTGGCGTACGGTGATGGTACAAAACAGTCGCATTTTGATTTATATGGGCTACAGTGGTGGTCCAACACTCAAGAATAGCTTAATTATTTCCCCTTTTGTTGTTGGATTTTGTGATATTTAAATTAATTCTTAATAAATACTAATTAGAATTAAAATAAGATATTCTTGGGTTGAAGTATGAAGTTAGAAATGGGACAAAACTTTAATCAAAAGAAGTGACCATAAACCACACCAAAACAGTGACCAAATAAAAGCTTGGAATAAAACATGACTGGAATACATCAAGTCACCCTTAAAAATATTTCTTATGTAACTTTAAAATGCATTTGCCATTAAAAAATAATTTAAATCCAAAAATGTATCTGATGGTAAAAAAGCAAATATTGTTCATCTGTGAAGATAAAGTAAAATTCATCAGTAAATTTAAGGAGAATACGTCCAAAAACTACTTTCTTTTGTCTTGTATCATAAAACTATTGCGATGAGCAGTACTGGTGCTTGTTAAATGGGTTGGTAAAGGGAATTTGAGTACTCCTGCTCGTGCCAGTTGGCATAAACCATCCAGTACAGATTTGCCTTTAATTTCCACAGTAGATTTGCACACACTTTCACTGGCTGGTTTACCATAAAATTTCAGGTCAAACTGAGAATAAAAAAACAATTATAAAAAAACAGTAATAATCGAACAATTTACACACCCTACTGTAAACAGGGCACAGCACAACTTACACATCCTACTGTATAAATGGAACATTTTATAACATTCATACAAATTTCATAACATAATCCATTGCCCAAACCTTGTATTCCAATTTTTCTAATATTGGCTGTGGGTCCTCTCCAAATGTTTGATTGAGTTTTTCAATCCTGCGACGTTTTTCTTCACTGTTTCCATTTATAATCATCTCTGTATCTTCAAAATTTTCATTATCAAAACCTACAAATTTTAATACATGCAGTTAGGACTTGGTAAATATACATTTCTCAAGGGGGCCAAAAATCACAACAAAGGAATGTACTGCTACAAACAGGGTTCCCACAGAGCCAGGAAACCAGGGAAAAAAATGGGAATTTTATGTCAGGAAAATTTCATAATAGCCGTGAATATTTTTCACCCTTGAAATACCATGAGATTAGGACTAAGCTTGAGCCTAGCCTGATGTAGTCTCGCCAGTTTTCGTGGTTTAGAGTGAAGGCGCACAAAACTAGTCTCGTGGTATAGACCCCTTGCAAACTGACCTAATTCACGTGATACCTATGTCCGCCGCAATGGTGGTGAACATCGCCAGTAAACAATCAGCTGTTGTACAGTGCTGGGCGTGTCTCAAAATGTGGTTATCATATATTAAGAGCCTCGCTCGGACAGGAATGATACGTAAAAAAACTATTAGGAATTGAAGATCCTTATATTCGTGTTGACATATAATGCAGTAATATAATATAGATTATTTACATCAAGTTAGTAGCAATAGATCTACACAACAGTAACAAATGTGAGACCACTTAACCCCTACAAAAACCCCAATAAAACAGCTAATCTACTTCTGAGGTAACAACCACTGCTATTCTTAGATCTTAGCCAATTTGGGTAGCAAACTATAATCATCGACCATTTGCGATCAGTGCTACAATTTTCAATTTTTTTTTCAGGGGTGCCATGGGGTGCCATGTTTCCGGATTATCTTTGTCCGGGTTAGCAAAATTTTAAGTTTTAAAATGGCCGGGTTTGAATTTATAAAACAAAACAAGACTCTTGACGTATGGTTCTAGAAATCGTTTTTATTATTAAGACTCTGGAGCATTTTTACCATTGATCTGTTTTCCGCCAATCGCACAATGCTAGCTTAGGGTTACTAAACATTGGTGTGATGTCTTTTTTTCTTTGGTTTTTTTTTTTCAGGATTGGTATAAGATTTAGTTTAGGCTACACGTGATTTTTTTTAAGGCTTATTTGAACTTGCCGTGAACTCGCAGTGTAGCCTAGAGGTGGACCTAAATAAATATTAAATTACAGTGTAGCCTAGAGGTGGACCTAAATAAATATTAAATTACTAGGATCGCGTTTGAATAGTCTTATTTCATATTATCACCTGTTTTAAGGATAACCGTTTTGGCAGATGTCTTATTTCATATTATCACCTGTTTTAAGGATAACCGTTTTGGCAGACTATTTCAGGCTATTTCATGGACCTAAATAAATATTAAATTACTAGGATCGCGTTTGAATAGTCTTATTTCATATTATCACCTGTTTTAAGGATAACCGTTTTGGCAGATGTCTTATTTCATATTATCACCTGTTTTAAGGATAACCGTTTTGGCAGACTATTTCAGGCTATTTCATGGTTAGCCAGTGATACTGAATTTCGGAAAAACACAGAATAAAAAAAAGAAATTTGCGAAAGCCAGCTTTTCTTACGTTCACGAAAATAAATAAACAAATAAAAGGCTAGTGATGTCATCAACAATCTCAAATGCGTAGGGGTCAACTACAATTATTTCATGTGGGATGAGAGATAAAAATTGTAACAACTGGAGGAAATGGGGCTTGCTTGAACTCACTGTGAACCCAAGTAGGCCCACATGTTGATTCAGATAAAGTGACATCATCAACTATCTAAAATAGCAGTTATTCATGTTATGATGTATGTTATAGCAGAGGCGCTTTTCCCTGGGGCAGACTATCCCATTTCTGGATATAGTAATTCCTGTCTGTGGCAGACTATCCCATTTCTGGATATAGTAATTCCTGTCTGGGGCAGACTATCCCATTTCTGGATATAGTAATTCCTGTCTGGGGCAGACTATCCCATTTCTGGATATAGTAATTCCTGTCTGGGGCAGACTATCCCATTTCTGGATATAGTCATTCCTGTCTGTGGCAGACTATCCCATTTCTGGATATAGTCATTCCTGTCTGTGGCAGACTATCCCATTTCTGGATATAGTCATTCCTGTCTGTGGCAGACTATCCCATTTCTGGATATAGTAATTCCTGTCTGTGTAAAAGCGCCTCCCCCTCCCCCAGTTAGAAAGGTTTGTGGCACTTTTAAATTAATCTTTCTGGCCCTTTTGGCACCCGCTGGGGTTAGGTTTTTTTTTAATTTCTGACGCGACATCAACTTTCAGGGTTTAAAAAATTCAGTTTTGGGATTGAATTTTAGGATATGATTCACTTTTTAAAAATGAGTCGCACCCCTAAAAAACATCTGCTTTTGTGTGGTTTAATTTAATTTGGCAAGTTCAATGGTTATGCGCGTTGAAATTTATATGAAAAATAGCAGGGAAATTTTTTTAATAGCAGGGAGTTTTCTGGTTAAAATATGGTCAATGCTACTTGACCACTACAAGAAGAATAAAACTATTACCCTTTCTTTTTTTTCCTTGTTTGTTGATGAGTGGATTCTCTTTGTCCTCTTGCTCTCTGTATGACTGGCACTAAAACATTTCAAGAACAAAAAAGTTCAGATACACAGGCTACTTATCTGATACATATAGTCATCTTAGTCATCTAATACTTAGAGTCATCTGATGCCTAGAGTCATCTAATACTTAGAGTCATCTAATACTTAGAGTCATCTAATACTTAGAGTCATCTGATACTTAGAGTCATCTAATACTTAGAGTCATCTAATACTTAGAGTCATCTAATACTTAGAGTCATCTAATACCAGTCATCTAATACTTAGAGTCATCTGATACATAGAGTCATCTGATACATAGAGTCATCTAATACTTAGAGTCATCTAATACTTAGAGTCATCTAATACTTAGAGTCATCTAATACTTAGAGTCATCTAATACTTAGAGTCATCTAATACCAGTCATCTAATACTTAGAGTCATCTAATACTTAGAGTCATCTAATACTTAGAGTCATCTGATGCCTAGAGTCATCTAATACTTAGAGTCATCTAATACTTAGAGTCATCTAATACTTAGAGTCATCTAATGCTTAGAGTCATCTAATACTTAGAGTCATCTAATACTTAGAGTCATCTAATACTTAGAGTCATCTGATACCAGTCATCTAATACTTAGAGTCATCTAATACTAAGAGTCATCTGATACTTAGAGTCATCTAATACTTAGAGTCATCTAATACTTAGAGTCATCTAATACTTAGAGTCATCTAATACTTAGAGTCATCTAATACTTAGAGTCATCTAATACTTAGAGTCATCTGATGCCTAGAGTCATCTAATACTTAGAGTCATCTAATACTTAGAGTCATCTAATACTTAGAGTCATCTGATACTTAGAGTCATCTAATACTTAGAGTCATCTAATACTTAGAGTCATCTAATACTTAGAGTCATCTAATACCAGTCATCTAATACTTAGAGTCATCTGATACATAGAGTCATCTGATACATAGAGTCATCTAATACTTAGTCATCTAATACTTAGAGTCATCTAATACTTAGAGTCATCTAATACTTAGAGTCATCTAATACTTAGAGTCATCTAATACTTAGAGTCATCTAATACCAGTCATCTAATACTTAGAGTCATCTAATACTTAGAGTCATCTAATACTTAGAGTCATCTGATGCCTAGAGTCATCTAATACTTAGAGTCATCTAATACTTAGAGTCATCTAATACTTAGAGTCATCTAATGCTTAGAGTCATCTAATACTTAGAGTCATCTAATACTTAGAGTCATCTAATACTTAGAGTCATCTGATACCAGTCATCTAATACTTAGAGTCATCTAATACTAAGAGTCATCTGATACTTAGAGTCATCTAATACTTAGAGTCATCTAATACTTAGAGTCATCTAATACTTAGAGTCATCTAATACTTAGAGTCATCTAATACTTAGAGTCATCTAATACTTAGAGTCATCTAATACTTAGAGTCATCTAATACTTAGAGTCATCTGATACCAGTCATCTAATACTTAGAGTCATCTAATACTTAGAGTCATCTAATACTTAGAGTCATCTAATACTTAGAGTCATCTAATACTTAGAGTCATCTAATACTTAGAGTCATCTAATACTTAGAGTCATCTAATACTTAGAGTCATCTAATACTTAGAGTCATCTAATACTTAGAGTCATCTAATACTTAGAGTCATCTGATACCAGTCATCTAATACTTAGAGTCATCTAATACTTAGAGTCATCTAATACTTAGAGTCATCTGATACTTAGAGTCATCTAATACTTAGAGTCATCTAATACTTAGAGTCATCTAATACTTAGAGTCATCTAATACTTAGAGTCATCTAATACTTAGAGTCATCTGATACATAGAGTCATCTAATACTTAGAGTCATCTGATACTTAGAGTCATCTAATACTTAGAGTCATCTGATACTTAGAGTCATCTGATACATAGAGTCATCTCATACTTAGAGTCATCTAATACTTAGAGTCATCTAATACTTAGAGTCATCTAATACTTAGAGTCATCTGATACATAGAGTCATCTAATACTTAGAGTCATCTAATACTTAGAGTCATCTAATACTTAGAGTCATCTAATACTTAGAGTCATCTAATGCTTAGAGTCATCTAATACTTAGAGTCATCTAAGACTAATACTTAGAGTCATCTAATACTTAGAGTCATCTAATACTTAGAGTCATCTAATACTTAGAGTCATCTAAGACTAATACTTAGAGTCATCTAATACTTAGAGTCATCTAATACTTAGAGTCATCTAATACTTAGAGTCATCTAATACCAGTCATCTGATACCTAGAAACAAACCTGCACCTCACTACTAAGATCTAAGAAATATACTAAACATGTTACGGGTATATGGAACATCTTCTGTGTCCCAGGGCACAAAACCACACCCCTTTTTATGTTCTGGGTCAAGTTTTCGTTTTTGCTGGCTGAGCGAAAACATAGGACATGTTCTGAATTTTTAGTTGAGTGCGCATGCATCGCAAAAGTAGTAAGCGCATCCTAGGTCTCGGCTGATTGCAAAATTAAATATACTGATCTTGAGTTTTTGAGCACACGATTTCATAATTTATAACTTCTCTAGTCCCTACTAAAAATTACATTTTATTTTTATAATTACTTATTATTTTTTTAATTAAATCCCAAACACATTTTAATGAAATAATGTAATGTCTAAGGCATTACAATTTTGCCTTAAAACCAGATTAGGTATTAATTAGGAAAATAATAATTAATTAAAAAATATAATTTAACCAAATTTATTTCCAATTTTTCCTTGACCAATATTTTGTTTTAAGTGTATCAACATATTTTCATTTTCTGTCTGAGATGAATAAATCTATAGGCCCACCATATGTGCTCATGGGATCACACATAATCAACTGACTTTAAAAACAGGCAGATAAAAAAGTCATAGGCTAATTTATATAGGTTTAAAATGAGAAATAATTAACATAAAGAAACGTAGTCGGAGGGGGGAATGAGTGTCATAGGCCCTACTCTAAAAACGAGATCTACTTTTATTCTTAATTTTTAAAAAGCCCTAGTATTTAAAAGGTTTCAAATAGTAGATTGTAATAAACCAGGAGTGATCTCCCCTAAACTTTCTCGAATATTCTTATGTGAAACAACAGGGGATGGTAACTCGGGATATAGACATGATTTTTAATCAATTTTAAATACTTAGACTTTTTAAAATAGAATAAAATCACGAAGAAAAAAGAATTGCACACCAAGTGAACGCCAAATAAAATTTGCATAATAGTACAGACTATTATTAGTACTTTATAAATTCACATGCGTTTTTTTGAGATATCGGAAATAGCGAAAATTACTACTTCCAATCAACGGAAATTACTTAAAATTTGATAGAAGACAGAGAATTAGATCTGTTACTTACATGTGAAATTTCACTTATCTATCTGAAATAGTACTCAAGTTATAGGCTTTTGAAAAATTGAAAGTAGAAAAAGTTCCACTTCTGGTTATCTGAGATAGCTCAAAAGTTGATCCAGATCTACGATTTTGATATAATACTTTTAATATAATTTCATCAGCCTAGCTGTAACGGTACTCAAGTTATCGTATTTACAGATACACACACAGACACACACACATATTCACACACACAGACATACGGACAAGATTGCAAAACTATGTTTTTCCAAATCAGAGAGCTGTAAAACGTCGAGATTTGCAAAAAACTTATCATCCACTTAATGCAGTAAGCGGGGCTGAAATAGCCATACCAATAAAGATGTCTTACCGTAGTGTTTTTTAAAACAATATCAGCAAGGGAGGCAACATGTCGTCCACTTAGTTGTATGTCAATCAAACTGTCCGCGTTCAATGTTGAAGTTACAGCCTGGGGAGAAAAGCTTTCACTTAAAAAACCAGTACATGTCTTCCTTCATTCTATTACAGCTATAACAGTCTCAGTACATGTCTTCCTTCATTCTAAAAACCAGTACATGTCTTCCTTCATTCTAAAAACCAGTACATGTCTTCCTTCATTCTAAAAACCAGTACATGTGTTCCTTCATTCTAAAAACCAGTACATGTCTTCCTTCATTCTAAAAACCAGTACATGTCTTCCTTCATTCTAAAAACCAGTACATGTCTTCCTTCATTCTAAAAACCAGTACATGTCTTCCTTCATTCTAAAAACCAGTACATGTCTTCCTTCATTCTAAAAACCAGTACATGTCTTCCTTCATTCAAAAAACCATTACATGTCTTCCTTCATTCTAAAAACCAGTACATGTCTTCCTTCATTCTAAAAACCAGTACATGTCTTCCTTCATTCTAAAAACCAGTACATGTCTTCCTTCATTCTAAAAACCAGTACATGTCTTCCTTCATTCTATTACAGCTATGATACTTGAATATTACAAAAATAAAACAGTCTCAGTACATGTCTTCCTTCATTCTATTACAGCTATGATAGTCTCAGTACATGTCTTCCTTCATTCTATTACAGCAGGGGTCTCCAAACTTTTCAGACCGAGGGCCGCATTAACTATCAAATTTCAGATCGGGGGCCAGTTTCTTCCAGCCATTACTTTGAGTTCTCTGGGCACAGTTCCTCAGCCATCACCAACAAACGATTTTTCCTTAGACAAAAAGATCCTCGCGGGCCGGATGAGAGGACTTAGCGGGCCGCATCCGGCCCGCGGGCCGTAGTTTGGAGATCCCTGTATTACAGCTATGATAGTCTCAGTACATGTCTTCCTTCATTCTATTACAGCTATGATACTTGAATATTACAAAAATAAAACAGTCTCAGTACATGTCTTCCTTCATTCTATTACAGCTATGATACTTGAATATTACAAAAATAAAACAGTCTCAGTACATGTCTTCCTTCATTCTATTACAGCTATGATAGTTGAATATTACAAAAATAAAACAGTCTCAGTACATGTCTTCCTTCATTCTATTACAGCTATGATACTTGAATATTACAAAAATAAAACAGTCTCAGTACATGTCTTCCTTCATTCTATTACAGCTATGATAGTTGAATATTACAAAAATAAAACAGTCTCAGTACAGGTCTTCCTTCATTCTATTACAGCTATGATAGTTCAATATTACAAAAATAAAACAGTCTCAGTTTTTTCACCGGAAATCCAATTACAAGTATGTGCTGTTGAGATTACAACAAAAAATTAAAAAACCGAAATCTGGTACAGTCATTTTTGGCAGCCATCATTACCATGACGACGGTAAAAAAAAATAGGTCAGGCGACAGCCTATCATAAGTGGTAAATTATTTGTTTTCTCAAAATCATCAAGAATTTTGATAATTTTATAGCATATTCTCATAAAACAGCAGTTTTAGCCACTATGTGTTTTCTAAAAAACAAGTGGTATTTGTCACCATTTCTCCATTGCGAAGTTGCTATTAATAGCACACAGATCTGCCATTACTGAGTAGTTCAAAGATTGATAAAATTTTGTCAGATGGGTCTAGTTTGTTTTCATTTTGTATTGTAATCATTAATATTGACTTCAAATTGGAATGGCTAATTTAAATTACATGATTAGAAATGGGTTTGAAGATATAACCACTAGTTATACGAGTAAAAAGCTTGTAAAAAGCTGACCCACCTCAGTGATCAAGTGAAGATTACGAAGCCCACATTTGTTTATTATGACATATGGAGAACCTGGGAAGGTCACGGCAAACAGAGAATTGTGAGGGTTGTAAGCTTTAGCTTCTTTTCTCCCATGTGCTGATGCAGAACTCACATGGATTCTAAGCCAAACTCCACCAGCAAATAATCCAACATTGCCAAACTTCAAGAAAACAATATATATATGCTAAGTAAAACAATTGAGAAACTACATTTTTAAAACCCTAACTAACACAATACCTTACAAAGGAGCCCAAAAGTTATAGGGTTAGGGTAAGTTTCTGGAACCAGGGTGATATACTTAATGCTAACCTAATTTTCTAAGCCAAACCTTAACCTAAACAATATAAGTTATCTATAGGGGGAAATTAGAAATTTTAAGACGAAAACAGTTACTAGAATCTAAATGGATGGTTTTTAAACATTTTGCTCTAATAAAAAAAATAGTGGAAACTTTTCTCTAAAGGCTAAAAAAAAAGTTCTTTAAAAATTTGGAAATGTTACATTTGTGTATATCTATATCTATATATACTACTAAAACTCAACTTTGTTTACATGTTTGAATATTTATTTGTTTGTCTGATTTCGTACTGTAAGGAAACTGCTCTACGTGGGGGGCTGTAAAATAGTACGTAGGTAGAGAACAATTTTTCATTGCAGATAGACCGTTAATCACACATTTATTTAAAGACGTTAATTAATTTATTGATTTATTCATAGGTAGATTAACCACTTTAAAATTAAAGTTTTAGAACAATGGCATAACTTTGACTGAATAGTGACGTTTGATAACTCATTTTTTGTTTGTTATTGGGGAGAATCTGCATTATGTGTAGAGCTGTAAAATAGGATTTTGGGTGGTAAATATTGTTCTTTCTTAACCACACTGTTAATTACAAACTAATTTAAAGCTGCTAATTAATTTATTGATATATTCATAGGTAGATTAACCACATTAATTATAAAAGTTTACAACAATAACTTTAGTAATAGTAAAATATTCATTTCTTTATTTATTTATTTTTTACAACAATGTTTCAATTATTTTTTCTTAAGGCCTATATGTGAATGATAAGGTTGACTATCAGGACCTCGCAAGGCACAGGGCAGGTGAAGTAGAGTTCACCTGTTTCTATGTTCTCAGCATATGAAGGGATAGTGTGGTCAGAGCCATGCTCGGCCGGAATCTTTTTTTTTTTAAATACAAACATGCCTGAGACATGGTGGGGCACTGGGCAGGTGAAATAGAGTTTAGTAGAGTTTTTAAAATATAAAAAACGTCTTTTTGAATGTGGGGTCTGGTTATTTTGGGATGATAAGTGCTGGCAGACGTGATGTTATTTATGGATGACCCCCCCCCCCCCCCCCCGAAACCCACAGTTATCTAACTAGATAACGGGTAGTCTAGTAAACAACTAGATTACCCATCAGGCATTAACTTACCAAGCGTGTACTTTCAGACGTGAGGTAACTAAATGTAAACTATGTCTGATCTATATTTCTTGTATCTTAGTTTTTGAGGTGTGGGTTTGTCTACAAAGGGTATACTGCATGAAATCCTTGAGTGTACACTTATCACCCTGCGTAATAGTGAGCTAGAACACACCTCGACAATTGCCCAGGTGTTAGGGGTGTCAATGTTCCATCTCGGGAGTTAGCTGTTACACTAGCACAGGATTCCGTTTCTTTAACGTAGAGCCCACCATGTCTCTAGCAATTGAGGTGCTCTTTAGAAAATGTTCGCACCATAATGATGATTCTGGTGTAGTTGGACCTTAGGTCAAATTGTACCCATGACCACAGCCTGCCAACAGTGTGCCACATCCTGCCACCAGTGTGCCACACCCTGCCATCAGTGTGCCACACCCTGCCACCAAGGGAACAACCCTGCCACCAAGGGACCACACCCTGCCACCAAAAGACCACATCCTGCCACCAGTGTGCCACACCCTGCCACCAAGGGACCACAACCTGCCACCGCGGGACCACACCCTGCCTCCGGGGGACCACACCCTGCCACCAAAGGACCACATTCTGCCACCAGTGTGCCACAGCCTGCCACCAAGGGACCACACCCTGCCACCGCGGGACCACACCCTGCCTCCGGGGGACCACACCCTGCCACCAAAGGACCACATCCTGCCACCAAGGGACCACACCCTGCCACCAAGGGACCACACCCTGCCACCAAAGGACCACATCCTGCCACCAGTGTGCCACAGCCTGCCACCAGGGGACCACACCCTGCCACCAAGGGACCACAACTTGCCACCAAGGGACCACACCCTGCCACCAAGGGACCACACCCTGCCACCAGTGTGCCACAGCCTGCCACCAAGGGACCACACCCTGCCACCGGGGGACCACACCCTGCCACCGGGGGACCACACGCTGCCACCAAGGGACCACACCCTGCCACCAAGGGACCACACCCTGCCACCAGTGTGCCACAGCCTGCCACCAGTGTGCCACACCCTGCCACCAAGGGACCACACCCTGCCACCAAGGGACCACACCCTGCCACCGGGGGACCACACCCTGCCACCAAGGGACCACATGCTGCCACCAAGGGACCACACGCTGCCACCAAGGGACCACACCCTGCCACCAAGGGACCACACCCTGCCACCAGTGTGCCACAGCCTGCCAACAGTGTGCCACACCCTGCCACCAAGGGACCACACGCTGCCACCAAGGGACCACACCCTGCCACCGGGGGACCACACCCTGCCACCAAGGGACCACACCCTGCCACCAAGGGACCACACCCTGCCACCAAGGGACCACACGCTGCCACCAAGGGACCACACGCTGCCACCTAGGGACCACACCCTGCCACCAAGGGACCACACCCTGCCACCAAGGGACCACACCCTGCCACCAAGGGACCACACCCTGCCACCAAGGGACCACACCCTGCCACCAAGGGACCACACCCTGCCACCAAGGGACCACACCCTGCCACCAGTGGGCCACAGCCTGCCACCAGGGGACCAGAACCTGCCACCAAGGGACCACACGCTGCCACCAAGGGACCACACCCTGCCACCAAGGGACCACACCCTGCCACCAGTGTGCCACAGCCTGCCACCAGGGGACCAGAACCTGCCACCAAGGGACCACACGCTGCCACCAAGGGACCACACCCTGCCACCAAGGGACCACACCCTGCCTCCGGGGCACCAAACTTTAAAGCTGGGGTACTACACCCAGATATTTACATTTTTTACAGCAGAAACTTTCCCAGGAGTCCCCTATAACTTCCCAAACTTTAAAGCTGGGGTACTACACCCAGATATTTACATTTTTTAAAGCAGAAACTTTCCCAGGAGTCCCCTATAACTTCCCAAACTTTAAAGCTGGGGTACTACACCCAGATATTTACATTTTTTAAAGCAGAAACTTTCCCAGGAGTCCCCTATAACTTCCCAAACTTTAAAGCTGGGGTACTAGACCCAGATATTTACATTTTTTACAGCAGAAACTTTCCCAGGAGTCCCCTATAACTTCCCAAACTTTAAAGCTGGGGTACTACACCCAGATATTTACATTTTTTACAGCAGAAACTTTCCCAGGAGTCCCCTATAACTTCCCAAACTTTAAAGCTGGGGTACTACACCCAGATATTTACATTTTTTAAAGCAGAAACTTTCCCAGGAGTCCCCTATAACTTCCCAAACTTTAAAGCTGGGGTACTACACCCAGATATTTACATTTTTTAAAGCAGAAACTTTCCCAGGAGTCCCCTATAACTTCCCAAACTTTAAAGCTGGGGTACTACACCCAGATATTTACATTTTTTAAAGCAGAAACTTTCCCAGGAGTCCCCTATAACTTCCCAAACTTTAAAGCTGGGGTACTAGACCCAGATATTTACATTTTTTACAGCAGAAACTTTCCCAGGAGTCCCCTATAACTTCCCAAACTTTAAAGCTGGGGTACTACACCCAGATATTTACATGTTTTACAGCAGAAACTTTCCCAGGAGTCCCCTATAACTTCCCAAACTTTAAAGCTGGGGTACTAGACCCAGATATTTACATTTTTTACAGCAGAAACTTTCCCAGGAGTCCCCTATAACTTCCCAAACTTTAAAGCTGGGGTACTAGACCCAGATATTTACATTTTTTACAGCAGAAACTTTCCCAGGAGTCCCCTATAACTTCCCAAAGTTTCATGGCAATCAAATGAATGGTGTAGTATTGCATAAAAGACCCAAGTACCAACACATACATACTTTATATACCAATACATATAATAAACCTGATTAACTTACAACCCAACCGTCTTTCCATTTCAGCTGAAGGTTGCGTACAAGTTTGGAACGTAATGTTCTAGGGTCAATACTGAGTTGCAGATCATTCCCTGACAAATAAAATCTGAGTAAAGTAAGGTAGCACTAGCAAGCATCCATTTTTTTAATAAGTATATACATAAAACTGATATAAAAATGGGCACTCTATTTTAACAGTGTGCAAGTAGAAGATTAGGATTCTTTCTATCCAAGATAATTCATTAGATTAAGATTACTGTTAACCTTAATTAATAATTCATTAAATTAAGAGTATAACTTAAGAGTTTAATCAATAGGATTAAAGATGTATAGTAATTTCTTTAGGTGAAAAATCTAGCTCTCCGATGTCCAATTGTATTGTGCCATGGATGTCAATTATTCATCACTGTGTGAAATATTTATACCTGTGAGATTATAGATCAGACTGAATGAAATATTTCTACCTGTGAGCTTATAGATCAGACTGAATGAAATATTTATACCTGTGAGCTTATAGATCAGACTGAATGAAATATTTATACCTGTGAGATTATAGATCAGACTGAATGAAATATTTATACCTGTGAGATTATAGATCAGACTGAATGAAATATTTATATCTGTGAGATTATAGATCAGACTGAATGAAATATTTATACCTGTGAGATTATAGATCAGACTGAATGAAATATTTATACCTGTGAGATTATAGATCAGACTGAATGAAATATTTATACCTGTGAGATTATAGATCAGACTGAATGAAATATTTATACCTGTGAGATTATAGATCAGACTGAATGAAATATTTATACCTGTGAGCTTATAGATCAGACTGAATGAAATATTTATACCTGTGAGATTATAGATCAGACTGAATAAAATATTTCTAACTGTTAGCTAAAAGAACAGACTGAATGAAATATTTCTACCTGTGAGTTTATAGAACAGACTGAATAAAATATATTTCTACCTGTGAGCTTGTAGACTTTCCAGAGCTTGGTTGTTGAGTGCAGCTGGATATCTGCAAAGAGCCAAACCAGTCATTAACAAGTTCCATGTTCAGATTTAATTATACACAAAACAAAAATACATCAGCCAAATTTGTTTTCAAACAAACGAGCCGACCTGCGGCATATCATATGCCGCTATTTAGTTGTTTTATTTTCTACTTTTCAGTAATTCATAATTTGTGAATTCGACAGTACCAATGCTGCCAATGAAATATTTGCTTTAAAACACTATCAGTAGGTCGTTAAGAACTATAATACCCCCACCCTCCTTTCCCCCAACCCCTACCCCCACCCACCTTTCCCCCAACCCCTACCCTACACCCCCCCCCCTGTGAAAGCAGCCTCCTCTTAGTTACCTCCCCTAAGTTTTAAATCGTTTCAAACTAAATTATCTGCCCCTAAAACCCGGCTCTACGAATGTAAACATTTAGCGTGAACCACAGCTCACCAGACCATGTAGGGGTGGAGTGGTAGGGAGCGCGCTTACCAGGGGCAGAACTACAGTGCCCGCCAGACCCCGCAATGCGGGGGGGGCCCAGACCGTTTGGGGGCCCAAAAATCCTGGCTAAATTATTAAAAAATAAATAAAAAATGTAAATTTTTTTTTAAAAATTAGCTGGAGGTCAAGTTTTCTTTCTTCTACAGTTACAAACAAACACGATAGTCGGCAAACGTCTTTGAGAAAAATGCACAGACTATACAGCTCGAGAGACCGCCAGACATATAGACAACTTCAAAGACGTAGCCTACCGTTCTTTTTTGTGGCGTCGATTAGGAGAGCAAAAAAGCATTGTTATATTGTTTACATTATTAAATACATATCTATGATTGTGTGTTTAAACTACTGGCCTGAATTCTACAAAAAATATAATTATTTATTTCGATCTCATACATTTTTAATTGCGTTCATTTTTACTTTAACAACTGTATCAATAAATTTGTAAAAGTTTAAGTTATCTCCCTTCAGCGAAGCATCTAAAATTTGACTGTGCCGACACGCTTTGAAATCGGGCTGGGGGGGGGGGATGTTGCGGCAACTATCCTGGTCTTCTAGACGACCGGAAAAAGTCGGCACTATTGATGTAGTTGTTCATCGGCGCTTTCTTGTCCCCTTCCCTTGAACCTTCCCAACTCTCGCCCCTCCCGCCCCCCCCCCCTCATCCCTACCCCTCACCTCTACCCCTCACCACACCCTTACTCTTACAATAAGATGTAATGCATAGATTAACGAACCGTTTATGAACTACTGAACTGTAAACTGACCACTTCTGCACATTTTGTCAAAGATACTAGTCAGTAGTTGTTCATTTACCCGATGAAGTATTTTGGTGACGAATCTAATTCACACAAGGAAGGCAAGACTCGTCTTTATATTATTAATCGTTTTATAATTAGTACACGTATTAATTTAACATTAGTTATTAACACTAAATACATTAAAGTTAAAAAAAAATTAGGATTCAATGATCTAGCTTTTAAGCCTAAAAATAGCCAACAGATCTATACAAGGGCGGAACTACTAGGCCGTTTAGGGGCCCACAGCTGACCATAATTAAATTTTTTTTTTTATTTTGAATTTAATTGACTCGTTTCCCCCCTTTGATAGCGAAATAGAGGACACGTAACTGTTTGACTGATCATCCAAAGTGTACTGTGGCGGATGGGGTAGGGGATGGGGACCAAACAAAAAATTATTTATAGTTGTATTTTTTAACCATCGTCAACGCCGAGTTCTATTTCCCTACAATCAAACACGCTTTCGCCGGCAAAATTCTTTTAAAAAAAAAACAACAAAGTCAATAGCACGAGAAGCCGCTACATATGAAGTGGGCTTTTATGATGCGCGGTTCTTCTTTGCGGCATTAGTTAGGGACCCGAATGTTTGTGATAATGGTTGAATTTGTATTCTGTACTATCTTGTATCCTACAATAATAAAAAAGAATATAATACTAAAAACTTCGTTTTTATATACGTTTACTTTTTTTTTTGCTTTTACAAGAAACTAGGCATGCTGCCCAGCTTCGCTTAGGCTTTCGAAAACATTGACAATTTGAATGCTTAATTAATTCGCCCATATAAGGCGCCGGTTAGTCGAGGTCAGTTTTGACCCCCTCATCGTAGACTTTTCGGCCAACCGGCCCCCGTGTTCTGTCGCCCCAAGGCAAGATCCTGCCTATCGGGCACCCGACAACTTAGCTTTATAGATCATCTAGATCTAGATCTAGAATCTCTAGATCTATGTGATCTAAAATCTCTAGATCTAGATGATCTAGAATAGATCTAGATCAATATCTAGATCTAGAATCTCTAGATCTAGAATCCAAATAGATAAAATAATTTTTTAAAGTTTAGGCCGAGAAAATCGTATTGTATACATTTCATAGCGTACATAGCTCTAAATCATATTTGAATCTTTTCTTCTTCTTCTTCTTCGTTCTTAATTATTAGTGTTGAAGGGGATCGAGATTTATCTGCCAGTGGGTTTGAACTCGAAACTTTGTTCGAATTTATCAAACATGAGCTTTTTTTGCCGACTCGACCACGCCTCCAACACAATTAAGCGTTACGTGTCAATTGGTTATGCGCCATTGAGGCCATTGACTCCGATTTCAGCCTGCTTTTCTTTTTGGATTTGCTTCCATAGCCTTTGTCCAACCAAGAACAAACTACAAGGCAGCAGTTTAATTTTGGAGTTGTCTCTCCTAGAAGAGTGGCTGTCCCCAGCTAACGAGCCTCATCTGCCCGAGGGTTCGAACTCGAGTCTTTTCGGTTTAGCAACCATGAGCTTTACCGACTCGACCACGCCGACCCTCATATTTGAATGAAATAGCTCATTTCTTTTTATTCTAAACTCGGAAGATGACGTCATCAGTTTCATGCTCTTTTTTTTTAGTGTAAACAATAAGCGACGTCATTGTTAATTGCGTTCTTGTCCCAAGTTTATACACTTTTCCGGTTGCATAAATAATACTGTTTCTCCATATTCGAACACGCCTTTATTTTTTTTTTTTTTTTTTTTTTTTTTTTTTTTTTTTTTTTTTTCTTTAGATAAAATTGTGGTTATACATTTAAAACATCTAACATATTATTTTCAACAAAAGTCCGTAAAAAGTTCATATATCGCTGCCGATTCTGTCGTGATGTCAGGCGAAAATATTTTGCGGACAGAGAGAGAGAAGAGCGCACATGGGCCATTATATATTAGGATAGCATAGTTAACTTTTAAATTGGAATTATCTCCCCTGAGTAAATTTTACAATGGCCGATGCTGACGTTCATAGGCGTGTTGTTGTCTCTTTCAAGATTTTTTCCCCAGCCAACCCCATCCCATCCCTCTTTTTTAGCCTCGCAAGTATCGAGTAGATCAATGTATCGTTTATGAACTACTTCCTAACCGTGCGATTCACCACTTCAGCACATTTTGTCAGACACTAGACAGCACTAGTCAACAGATATTAATTTACTTGTATAGTATTAGGCACATCTAATTCACAACACAGGGAAGGTAAGATTATTTTTAGAAATTAATTAGAACGTTTAGAATTAATTGAACATTATTAATAGTCAATTACTATTTATAAATGACGTCATTGAGGTGGGGGTGTGTGAGGGTCTGGCTTTTTGTTAGTCGTTAAAAAATGTGACGTCATTTGTGGATTCCCCCCCCCCCCTAAATCATAAGGTTATCCGACGCGTGAGCTGGCCACATACAGTTGTAAATGGGAAAAACATTTTTCCGTCTATTATGCATTACTGCATCATTCACCCAATCGCCATGAAAACTTGGGAAGCTGTTGAGTACAGCCCCGCAAAGGTTTCTGTTATAGGCCTAACATTTGTTTACAATTGGAGTGGGGACGCCCAACGGAAATATGTGATTTAGCGCCCCGAGATCTTGCATAAGCGGATGAGGTTACTACTTGAAACCACCGGCGACAGTGTCATCCTGAGCGTATCACATATGAGCAGGTTGGCCCCCACATCCAGTCGTTTAAACGTTCCCACAACACTAGGAATAAGTCTCGCTACTACACTCGCTGACTAAATCTAATCAAGTGTTGCACAAATGTTTCTTCCAGACTGCCGGAAGAAACAATGTGTCACGCCCATCACCCTTGCAGTAATGTAACCGGTAGCTCCCAAAAGCCCCGTGACTCCCCGGACACCTGGGCTTACAGCATGCCCTAGCAGGTCTAGTTGGTAGTGTGGACAAACCCGTGCCCTAAGATCCAAGACATGAACTGCCGACATTGTTAATATTTAATTCAACTTCTGGAAAACAGGGCACACGTCTAAAAAATACACGGTTGGTAACGTTTTGATGAAAGCCTCATAAAAATCGGCGCCAGTTTGGTGTGTTGGACTAGATTTAGAGAGTCCGTGCTTTTCACTTGGAAAACTTAATGGGACCAGCTCGTGTGTTGGTAAACCGCTGATTTATTCGTGTACCAGATGGACATTTTTTAAAAATTTAAAGCGACCCTTGTTTTATATATATATATATATATATATATATATATATATATATATATATATATATATATATATATATATATATATATATATATATATATATTTATATATATATATATATATATATAGGGGCACAAAAAAAATCTGCGGGGGGGCCTTTTTTTTCTAGTTCCGCCACTGGCGCTTACAGCTTGTTTTCTAGCGTCTCCCAGTAGAGAATTATATATATATAGATAGTAGTCATTTTTTTTTCTTTTCTCCTTTTAGTTCCTTGCTAATGCTGGTCTAATTATTTAATCTTTTTTCTGAACTTTCATTTCTACAGTCCTCCATTTTGACTTCTAATTGCAAATGTTTCTTTTTTCTTTGACTTTTAGTTTTTTGAGTGTTAAATCTTCTGGAGTTTTCTATCTTGACAGTTTGTGGGACAGTATTATATCTCTTCATTTTATTAGTCAGGCTGTAAAAAGGTAAACATTTATCCATGGGTAAGGATTTACTTTAGCATAGGTGGTTTGATCTGCATCAGCTATTTGGTGTGACAGAAAGATTTCTCATAGTTAACCTCATCCAGTCACTGGTCAGGTCCATCTTGTATGGATGCAAGGCACAGACCCCCAGAGATGGCTCAAAAAATGAGATACAGACCCCCAGAGATGGCTCTTAAAATGAGATACAGACCCCCAGAGATGGCTCTTAAAATGAGATACAGACCCCCAGAGATGGCTCTAAAAATGAGATACAGATTCCCAGAGATGGCTCTAAAAATGAGATAAGACCCCCAGAGATGGCTCTTAAAATGAGATACAGACCCCCAGAGATGGCTCTAAAAATGAGATACAGATTCCCAGAGATGGCTCTAAAAATGAGATACAGACCCCCAGAGATGGCTCAAAAAATGAGATAAGACCCCCAGAGATGGCTCAAAAAATGAGATAAGACCCCCAGAGATGGCTCTAAAAATGAGATACAGACCCCCAGAGATGGCTCAAAAAATGAGATACAGACCCCCAGAGATGGCTCAAAAAATGAGATAAGACCCCCAGAGATGGCTCAAAAAATGAGATAAGACCCCCAGAGATGGCTCAAAAAATGAGATAAGACCCCCAGAGATGGCTCTAAAAATGAGATACAGACCCCCAGAGATGGCTCAAAAAATGAGATACAGACCCCCAGAGATGGCTCTAAAAATGAGATACAGACCCCCAGAGATGGCTCAAAAAATGAGATAAGACCCCCAGAGATGGCTCTAAAAATGAGATACAGACCCCCAGAGATGGCTCAAAAAATTAGATAAGACCCCCAGAGATGGCTCAAAAAATGAGATACAGATTCCCAGAGATGGCTCTAAAAATGAGATACAGACCCCCAGAGATGGCTCTTAAAATGAGATACAGACCCCCAGAGATGGCTCAAAAAATGAGATAAGACCCCCAGAGATGGCTCTAAAAATGAGATACAGACCCCCAGAGATGGCTCAAAAAATTAGATAAGACCCCCAGAGATGGCTCAAAAAATGAGATACAGATTCCCAGAGATGGCTCTAAAAATGAGATACAGACCCCCAGAGATGGCTCTTAAAATGAGATACAGACCCCCAGAGATGGCTCTAAAAATGAGATAAGACCCCCAGAGATGGCTCAAAAAATGAGATAAGACCCCCAGAGATGGCTCTAAAAATGAGATACAGACCCCCAGAGATGGCTCTAAAAATGAGATACAGACCCCCAGAGATGGCTCTAAAAATGAGATACAGACCCCAAAAAAATTTAAAATCAAATTATGAGCTACAAACTGGTACAGATTGTTAAAACTGTTTATTTTTGTGACAAGAACGCAAATAATAATGATGTCACTATGGAAAGTACACAAAACCAATTTTAGAATATGAACTATTTAATTCAAATTTGATTTAGATCTATAGATCTACTTATCAAGATGTACTCTATGTAATGTATACAATTTTCTTGGCCAAAAGTAATACAACTTACTTTCAAAACCAGCATGAATACCATTGAACAGCCGGTTTTTTAATGGAATCATTTAAGTCTCTTAAAGAGTGTGTGCATTTAATATGGTGTTGTGCTGACTAATAATGTTTATAATTTGGTTTTTCTAATAGGTATTGGTAGCCTATGTTATTTTAAATATGTCAGATTTTTAACTATTTAGTTTTTTATTTGCTTTGTCACTAATACCGTTCAAAGTGTAGTAAAGCACATTGCATTTTGACCAGTAACTTTTTATAAAATATTTTTCTCAAACAAGTATAAAATTAAAATATATGGGCCTATAATTCACGTGTAACGGCTATCGGCGGCTATTGGAAAGAGAAGTTTTAAAAGTAGTGTCTATGTAGTCTACACAGTATTATAACAAGTTGTAAGGTCAACTCAAGTTCGTGACCTATATTACTATTTCTTTTATTGCTTACGTACCGCTTCATTTTGTATGCAGATTGATGTTTTGTGGTTGTTAAATTCACTATATGAAAGCTTACATAAATCAAAACAAGTAAAGCTCTTTGTTACCACCCACCACCCACCCCACCCCCTTTCAAGTTGACATCAGAAATTTAATTCCCTTAAACTGTTGAGAAAACATGTAGAACAATATTTTGAATGCACTAAAAATTTCTCTCTCTTATTATCTGAGATGCATTTTTAATTCAAAGAAACTTACACTCAATTACAGGATTTGACAACAAACCCTCAAAATAAAGCTTTTAAAAATCAAAATATAAAACTTACACACAAGTTCCAAATCTCCAACAGTCTCATGATTCAATTCATCATCCTGTCAAAAATGTATTTTTTTAAATGAACCACATGTATTAATTGATTAAAATTCAGTAACTCAACAAAAATAATTTTGTTTTATAAATGTTATATAAAGTAATTGTTCCACTACCCAAATAGAAAATATACAAGAGAGAGGATACACTATTAACACACAAGACTAATGAGACAATTTATTTCTTGTTTTACATAGTTTCATTTACAACATTTTGATAATTTAACAGTTTCAGAATGAGCTTTGAATCAATAAGAGTTTTATTTTTATGTTACTAGGAAATAATAATTATCTATAATAATAGTTTCGTTGTCTGTCTGTGTATCTATCTGTGTATCTATCTGTCAAGAACGCTATAGAGAAAACACAAGCAGAGTAAAAACTTTCATAGTAAAATGAAAACGAAACATGACGTCACATAGAGCATATAGTGGGAAAAAGTCTAAAGCTGGGGAGTGCACACAATAATATGACGTCATTGATTCTCGAGTAAACATTGAATTAAAAAGCCAATTTTGTCTAATCTTAAAAGTGGTTTGCGTGAAGAGTTTCTTTCATACAATTCCTAGGGTAGGTGCGAAGCCCCACCCCCTCGTAAGAACGTCTAACCCCCCCCCCCCCCCACTCAAAAGAAATGTCGTCATTGATACTCTATAATAAAATTACTGCCTAATTCATGTGTCTAATCAAAATAGTGGTTTGCTAGCAGAGTTTTTTACATGCATCTCTTCGGGTAGGGGCGAAGCCCATTTAACCCACCCCCGGTAGAACGTCTAATCCCTCCCCCTAAAAAAACAATATATAATTTTCTATAGAAAATATATTATACTTTTACCAGTGTCTGGCTCCTGCGCCCCGGAAAATTTTATTCGCCTCTGCAAAAATTCAAGTGCCCCAACCCCAGAAAAATATCTGAAAGAAACACTGACTGCGAGAGTGAGGTTTATCGGCCGAAAGTAGGAAACGAGGTCTAAATTATAGAAGTAAGCTCTACCTTTAGTCTGTATGATCAACAAATACGATCAGTGTTTATTTCAGACTTTTTCCTCCCCTGAGTGGGGGGGGTACTTGAAATTTTCGGGGCAGGGGGCGGACACTGGTGAGTATATTTTCTATATAAATTCTATTTTGTTGAATGGGACAGTAGATGTGCTTTGAGATGTGTGTGTGTGGGGGGGGGGGGGGGGGGGCAAGTAGAGTCGCCTAAAAGAAACTCTAAATGCGACTTTTGTCATGATTGAGATTTGTTTAGGAGTATGGCTGCAACTATATTTAGTATCAATGTGCATTAACTAGGTAGAGATCAAGCTTAAATCAGATTGAAGTACCGATTCTGGATAAAAAATGCGTTTTCAATGTCATTTTTCGTTTCCGGTTAAATTGAATTAAGGTGGTGACAGCACTATCAATCTAGCACCCGTTGTATCCTTCCTCAACAGGCCATTTTTCTCATAGTGAATAGTTTTAATAACTAAAACACAATAAGTAATTATGGGCTAAATAAACCTGAAGAAAAATAGTATACTAAAGCATGTTCAGCATAATAATGAGAATAGTCATGGAGTTTCCTATCTCCCATCAGGATTGTTAGTAGGGGGGGGGGGGGGGGGGAATGAATGAATGGGTAAGGTTGAGAGTAAATATATATGTGTGTCTGTGTGTGTCTTTTATGCATTACTAAACCTTTCATCCAATCGCCATGAAACTTTATGAAGTTGTTGAGAATACTTCTGGGGAATTTTCTGCAAAAAAAGAATTTCAAATTTGCAGGGGTGGCGCCCCTTCAAGGCGCGATTTTATTCTTCTCTATGTAAATATAAAAGTCAATTGCGGTTTGACACTGTTCATCCGATCACCACTGAACTTTGGGGAGTTGATTAGAATGCTCCAGGGTAGGGTTCTGTAGAAAAATCTTTTTAATTTTTAAAAGGCGGTGCCCGGGAGGGTGTGATTTTTCTCTATATACCGTACCTAAAAAATAAAAGTCAGATGCAGTTCGAAACCGTTTATCCAAGTGCCATCAGCTTTAGGGAGTTGATCAAATTACTCTCTCGAAGGTATCTCTTATGTGTCGCCCGGGAAGGTATGATTTTTGTCAATACACAGTTTGGCGGCCAGAGTGTCAGGGCAGCTATCTAAGCACTTGGTATCCGTTAATCGGGCGTCCTGCATAGCGGATAAGGGGTACAACTATATTCAGCATTAAAACTTCAATAGGCGAAGCCAATGAGACAAGCGAAGCGCCCTGGACTCCACTGTGAGCACTATGGCACCTAACTTCGTTTTAAAAAAAGGCTATAGACTTTATTGAATCAGGCTAGTCCTCCGGCGCACTGGAAGGGGGCGATTTGGCACCCCTGGCTTACCCTTGAGCACCATGGCTCCTACATAAATTATAAACAGTGTGATAGTCTATGGATAAGATAGGGCATTATAGCTGTTCAATAAATTGAATAAGGCGAGTTAGCCATCGCCCCGGCAGGGTGCAATTTGGCCCCCCCCCCGGGGTATCCTGTGAGCAATATGATGCTTACGTCAGTTTTAAACATTGCGACGGAGTATGCATAAGATTGGGTTTCATAGTCATTCGCTAAACATAATCAGGTGTGTCTGACGGTGCCCCGGAAGGTTGCGATTTGGCACCCCTGGTTTTATTGGGCGGTATTATAAGTAAACCCGTGCCCTGATAAATATGATCCAAAAGCAGGCATTATTTACATTTAAATAACTCAGTTTTAGGAAACAAGGTCAGGCGTCTAAAAATATAGGGTAGGTAAAGCATTGATGAAAAGCCTTCTTTAGATTTTTTTATTTTTTATTGCTACACCTTTCATCTGATTGCCATGAAATTTAGGGGAAATGGTTGAGAATTCTCCTGGGGAGGTTTATTTCAATTTTGCATCGGCGGCGTCCCGGCAGGAATTAATTTGGGTCACCGGGTTATCCCATGAGCGCAATAGGCGCCTATGTTCGTTTTAAAGAGTGTGATTAAATATGGATAAGAGATAGTTTAATAGTCTTTCACTAAACTGAATCGGGCGCGCCCGCAGCAGGGTGGAATTTGCCCTGGGCTATCCTGGGACTTTCTTCTAACACTGCGACAATGCGCAGGGACAGGCACACTAGTAGTAAGTACATTCCCGGACAGATAAAGCTTGCTTGCTGTGTACTGAAACTCATCTATAAGAAAAAACTACAAAATCAAACTGCTGACTTGTAGTTCGTTCTTGGATGGACAAAGGATATCATACTATGAAAGCAAATCCAAAAAGAAAAGCAGGCTGAAATCATAGACAACTGACTATTTGGCACTTAACAGATTGACACATACTACTAAATAATGTTGGAGGAAATTCTGTCCAATATTACAATTAGGATGCCACAGCTGGTATTGGGACCTGGGACCTGTTCATAATTGGCGTGTTTAAAAACCCAAATCTGCACACAAAAAAATAATCTATTAAAAAAACAATTTTAAAAAAAAAAACCTATGCAAACAACTCAGCTATCGAGATTGAACATTAAACTTAAATACACATTGCTTCTCGCAAAAGCGAGAGCTTAGATTGGTTCAGATCCTGTAAGTAATCGAGAGTCGTGAGGCACTGTGTTCTCCGCTCAGCCATGACATTTTACGATAATTAATAAATATTTAATGATTTTGTATATACAGCTAAATCTAGGATATTTAGAAATAGCGACACAAGAACTAACAAAAGCAAATCCACATAACTAATTGCAATAAAACACAACAAAATACTAGCAAATCAACAAGAAAAATCAAATAAACATCCAAGTCCGAATAGCGGCCATGGCCTTAGGGACCCATGGCTGCTATTAGGACCTGGGTCCCTATAGGACACTGGTCCTAAAAGCGGCCTGGGGCTTTTAGGAACCGGGGCCCAATAGCGGCCATGGCCATAGGGACCCGGGTCCTAAAAGCAGCCCAGGGCTATTACTATTGGGACCCTGGTCCTAATAGCCACTTACTAAGTACTTACAACTAAGAAAGAGAATGAAGAAGAGTGATACTTTAAATTAAATTAATAAATTAAACATCTAGGCCCTAGGCCTATGCTTAAATGACGATAAATGGCTAGCCATAAATATTTTTTATTAAATAATAATAAATATAAAATAATATAGGCTTAATAAATGTCAAAACTGAACATATTTATCATTTGATAAATTATGTGATTATCTATAATATAACGCTGCTGGTAGTGTGTCAGTCCTTCCTTCCTTCCGTCATCGCTATAGATTTTGGAACCATAAAAGTAAACATTCGCACCATGCTGTGCTTTTCAGTGCACCGCAGTGTCTTATTATAAGTATTAGAGTAGGGTTTGTTTATATAGCGGCATAGAGCTATTTTATAATTGCCACGGTTTTTACTCTTTCGCATAACGTCAAGAAAATATTAAATACACGCAAACTGCTAAAACGTATTAAAAAGATTAATGTCAAATATCATTTTCGTTTAGGTTCCCAGAAAAAGTGGATACATTTTAATAAGATAATAACAGTACGGTAGAAAAATCAAATTAATTTAACTCTTTTCTAATTTTGACAAAGGAGGTAATTTAAAAATACATTAAACTCACGCTAATAAAAAATGTGAATGCAAATAAACGTTCGTCATAGAAGGAATTAGTGTTGCAATAATATAATTAGCAAAATGTGAATGCAAATTATTCGGATGTGTAAGAGGAAATTATTGTTAGGATATTTTAGATACTGCCTATTATTTATACTGTTTTCTAATTATTATTCTATCTTTCGGGTTTTATAGGAGATGCGTAGCGAGGGGGGGGGGGGGCATATGTCCCCGGGTGCCGACCTTAGAGGGCGCCAAAGTGGGTTGGAAAAAATTTGCGAGGGGGGGGGGTGGAAATCGTAAGTTTTAGGGCGGGCGGGGGGGGGGGGGGGGAGAGAGAGGGGTGCAAATCGAAAGATTGAGGGGGTTGCAAATCACCGGAAAGGGCGCGATTTGGCGCTACGGGCTAGACTGTGAGCAATATGCCTTTATGATTGCATTTAAATTGTGTTTATGTTATGGGTGTTGTGTTTGTTTTTTCGTTTTTTTTTGCGTTCATTTGTGTTGTGTTTAGTTTTGTTCTGTTCCCAAGTTGGTACATTTAAAAAAGATTTACCGTGGCGGAGCACGGGATGCAGCTAGTTAATTATAGGCCTACTATTGTAGTATAGCTAGATCTAGATCTATTTGTTATAAATCTAATAGCCAATAGTCTGGCAATAGTAGATCTAATAGGCCTACTAATAAACTTAAATAAACTATTACTTTATTATTAGGCCCTACTATTATTTAATAATATTTTGAAGTATTTTGAAGTATTTTAGGTAATCTATCGTTTTAGGTATGTAAAATCACTCGCGGCTAGTAATGTACAAAAAAGTTAGCTCATTGTCAAGGCTTTAATAGAAGTATATAGTGATATATTTGTGTCAAATATCTATATATATAATTCTCTTCTTGGAGACGATAGAAAACACCAAGCTGTAAGCGCGCTCCCTACCACCCCCAACCCTACATGGTCTAGTGAGCTGTGGTTCACGCTAAATGTTTACAATCGTAGAGCCTGGTTTACTAGTGAGGGCTATAACTATAAGGGGCAGATGTGTGTGGGGTAGAGGTTGGGGAAAGGAGAGGGGGTTATCCTCCCTAACGAGCTACTGATAGTGTTTTAAAGCAAATATTTTCAGTGGCAGCATTGGTACTGTCGAATTCACAAATTATGAATTACTGAAAAGTAGAAAATAAAACAACTAAATAGCAGCGTATGAAATGCAGCAGGTCGGCTCGTTATAGATAAATGAATAATAAACCTAAATCAATGGCTAAATATATCAATAGGCTTATAGTTATAGGCAAGAAATTATCTTTAAACAGCATGTTTGCGAGCAGGATTTGCTATATAAAAAGCGGCCATCTGTAAGTTAGAGTGGCTTCCCCTGAATCTTGCGCGTTTACTATAAAAAAAAAATAAACAAGATGGCTCAGCCATTGGCTGCTATAGTAAATGAGCATGGTTGCATCTGTTGGAACCATCGCTAGTCTTCATATAAATAGTTTTAATTCAATTGTTTAAAAACAGGTAGAATCTACATAATAAATGAAACAAGGGAACATTTTTGTGTTTTTCAAAACATAAATCCTCCGCAAAATGTGAAATAATTTTAAAATTTTTAATTTAAGGAGTCCCCTGTTTTTCACATTACTAGTCGCGGGCGATTTTACGTAGATCTAGATCTAGAAGCTAGATCCTACCTAAAACGATAGATTACCGTAGCCGTATTTAGATCTAGAATCTAGTAGTAGGGTTGTCGGCATCCGCCGAGTTCGCGGTAAAAACATGACCCGAAATCGCCCATTACTTTCTGATACCGGACCCACGAGATTTGGTTTTGCATACTAATAAGTTTTTAATTTATGGTAATTAATTAAGTTTAAAAGGTCATTTCCTAAGGTTAATTAAAAAGTAGAGTGGTTGTCCCTTAGTTTTAATGGCTTTGCGACCTGATTGCATGCTGTCTCTGCTTTGGTCTTCCCCCTGTATCAAGGTTAGTTTCAAATACGTTGGAATCTCGATTTTTTAAAAGATTCCTCTAGATGAGAGTAGATTACTGATCAGACATATCTTAAGTAATTGGAAATGAAATTTGTTTTTGGATATTTTGACTCCGACATTAGTTATACCCCTCCGAACGTAGACACTGTATGTAGGTCACGCTGCCACCATTGTTATATTTTTTCATCCCGATCTTCCTGCCTTTAAGTTTGGTCCACTAATAACAGCAATCTTATGGCATGTGCAAACAAATCTAATTTTTTATTTCAAAATATATTTACATACCCATCTTTAATTTTTTCAGCTCTAGTTCTAGTTTTCTAGAATATGTTTTTCCTAAAAATCCAATTTTGTCAGACTAGACTCTAGACTGACAAGAGTCAGACCTAGATCTAGATCTAGGTTACCTGTCTGTTGCTATACACTAACATTGTGCTAACTGTAATTTTAAGTATTCAAGTTCTACTTACCCTTAGATATAGTTATATGCTGAAAATCAGAATCCATACACAATTCACACATAAAAACATTGATCTGATAACTTCATTTCACTTATTACAAAATGGCTTTTGTATGGACTCTACTTCACCTGCCCAAAATAACAAGGCAGTTATAGACACATTACAGTGTTCATGTCATTTACTTTAGATTTCTGACTATGGAGTTCTTTCATTCACTGTATTTATATAAAATATTGCTTTAGAAACATTTTCATATTTGCGCAGCAGTTTTATAACAAAATGGCTTAAAGATGGACTCTACTTCACCTGCCCAAAATAATGAGGCAATTATATGCACATAACAGTGTTCAAGTCATTTACTTTAGATTTCTAACTTTGTAGTTCTTTCATTTGCTGTATTTATATAAAATATGGCTTTAGAAACATTTTCATATTTGCGCAGCACACAGTTTTTTGGGGTTATGGGAGGAAGCCAACACAAAAATATAAGTTCTGTATTATTTTTATTAATTTCAACAGCATTTACAAGTTCTATATATCATTCTAGTTAAACTCTGCAAATATGAACAAAATACAACTGCAAGTAAAATAACTATGCTCAATTTATTCAGGTATACCATGATTTGTCACAATTGGCCAATGCAAAAGCAAGGGGATTCCACCCCTCACAAAAAAATTCGCCAAAAAAAAACTATTTGAGCTAGACAGAAAATCTTTTTTGTTTTGTTTTCATATAGTTGAGCTCTACAAGAATATGTAATTTTTATTTTTATATGATGATTAGTGTTTTTTTACCTAAATCCCTACAGTAGGCCCTATTTATTATTTATTTTCTTACCTCAACAAGATCAAGAATTTTTTTAACAACCTGCTGTTTAGTTCCATTAAAAACTTCAAGACTAAGCTGAGAATTGTTTATTCTTCCCCATTGTGTAACTGTATCTCTAACTGTTGAGGATCTGCATCTCAAAATCACTGATTTCAAAATTTCTTTTGTTTCAAAAACCTTGCGTTTTTCTGACATCTCAACAGCAAAAACTTATGGTAAAACCTTAGTTTAGCGTCGGTTATTATTCCGGAATCGTATAGCTGCAGTATAGCAGTAAAAAACAGTAAAACAATGCCAAAGTCTGTCACTAAACCAGCTCCCAGAGCAGAAGTCGATTCTAAATAAAATAAATAGATCTAGATCTAGTAAATTAAATAAATAACAAAGGCTAAAAATAGTAAATAAATAGGCCTATAGCTTTAATAAAAAGTTTAATATACTGGGTGTTGGGAAATTGCGAAAAGCGAAATACGAGGCGGTAAACTACGAGAAGATAATGCGAGACATACCTGCGGAATCACGGGTAAATAGTGAGACACCTTTTGCGAAAAAAAGTTTTGCTTATTGCTTATTTAATATTTTTAAAATATTTTTTTGTTTTAAACTAAACAAGCATAAGCTTTTCATCTAATATATAAAGCTCACTTCTGTATGTAAAAATACATATGTTTGTCGTTGGTCTTGGATGGATTTAAGTGTTAGACAATTATCGTGCGCATTTGTCTAAATTTATGAGTTAAAAAATTACTATTGAAAGTGTTGGGAAATAATTTTCATTTTTCAAATTACAGTAATAATTGTCGGCATGTTCATTAAACACAAGTTTTAAAAAAATATCATCTTTTACAAAAATTCTAATTATGTCTTTATTTAGTCCTATAGCACTTACTTCCCTTTGATAAATTAGGAAAACACAATTACTTCCCTTTATAAAACCATTGCATTAGTCGAAAATAATTTACTTTTTAATTACTTTGTTTTGGTGTTGGGAATAAAAATAATTACATAATTAGCGGGGATTGATCAAGTGCAAATGTTGTAGGTATTTTACGGATAAGCTTGGAGTATTAAAATTGTTCATTAAATTGAAACAGGCGCGTTCGTTTAAGTGAGTGCAAAAGACTATGAATAAGTTGGGGTACTATAGTCGTTCATTAAGCCAAAACAGGTGATTCCGCCCCGGGCGTTTATGTTCGCGTTAGTGTTTTCTTTGTGTTTATGTGGGTTTGCGTTAGTGGTTGCGTTTTGATTTGGTTCGTTTTTGTTCTTTCTTTTTTCGTTTTTGTTTGTGTTTTTTTCTTTGGGTTTGTATTTGTGTTTTTGGTTGGTTTTGCGTTTGGATTTGGTTTGTTTTCGTTTGCTTTTTCGTTGTTTTTTTTTTGTTGGTATTGGTGTTTGTGGTTGGGTTTGTTGTTAGGTTTTTGTTTTCGTTTGCTTTTTTGTTTGTTTTTTCTTTGTGTTTGTATTGGTGTTTGTGGTCGTGGTTGGGTTTGTTGTTAGGTTTTTGTTTTCTTTTGTATTTGTAATTGTGTTAGCGTTATGTTTGCGTTTTGTTGCTTTGGTTGGTTGTGGTTTGGGTGGGCAATGCCGGGTTTATGATGATTACTAAACACACAGGTAATGGTCTGTAACAGAAAGGTTTTTCACAGAAGCCAGAGCAGGGCCTGGCCGGGACGGCTAGTCTATTTATATAATTCTCTTCTTGGATACCCTAGAAAACACCAAGCTGTAAGCGCGCCTAGCAGTCCCCTCTCTACCTCTCTATATAGGCATATTCCTACCACCTCCACCCCCACATGGTCTGGTGAGCTTTCGTTCACGCTAAATGTTTACAATTGTAGAGCCGGGTTTAGTGACGGCTATTAGGGGCAGATAATTTATTTTGAAACGATTTTAAACTTAGGGGAGGTAACTAAGAGGAGGCTGCTTTGACGGTGGAGGGGGGGGGGGTAGGGTAGGGTTTGGGTGAAAGGAGGGTGAGGGGGGTGTAATCGTCCTTAACTAAAATCGAAACGCCGGAGCGAAAATTCGGACACTTCTACTTGACAGATACGGTTCACAGTTGGCACTGGGTCAAGACATGAAGACAATGCAATCTGAAATTAAATTTGACTTAATTGGATGCCTAATTAATTTTGTATGAATTAATTAAAATTTGGACCAAATGAGTAGGCATTTCTATCGAACCACACCACACGCGTCATCACGTTCAATAGCGCGTCATCATTTTCAATAGGCGCGCAATGGTTTTTGGTCATGAAACTCTATCTATCTATCTATATATATAAAAAGCAATGTATGTTTGTGTGTGTGTGTGTGTGTGTCTGTCTTTTATGCATTACTACACCTCTCATTACATCGCCGTGAAACTTTGGGAAGTTGTTGTGAGTATTCCTGGGGAGATTTCTGCGGAATTTTTTTTTCAAATACGCAGGGGTGGCGCCCCGGCAGGGCGCAATTTGTTTTTTCTCTATATACGGTATATAAAAATAAAAGTCGATTTTTTGTTTGACATCGTTCACGCGATAGCCATGAGACTTTGGGGAGTTCATTATAACACTCTAGGGAAGGGTTCTGTAAAAAAATAATTTTTAATTTCGCAAGGGCGACGCCACGGGAGGGTGCGATTTTTCTCTTTTTACGGTATATAAAAATAGTAAAAGTGAATTACGGTGACACCATTCACGCGATCGCCATGAAACTTTGGGAAGATGTTGAGAATATTCCTGGGGAGGTTCTGCGCTAAAAACATTTTTAAATTCGCAGGGGTGGCGCCCCGGCAGGGCGCGATTTGTTTTCTCTCTATAAATGGTATATAAAAATAAAAGTCGATTGCGGTCTCACAACGTTTATCCGATAGCCATCAAACTTCAGGGACTCGATTAGAACACTCCAGGGAAGGGTTCTGTAAAAAAAAAAGTCATTTTTATTTTCGCAAGGGCGGCGCCACAAGAGGGTGCGATTGTCTCTATATACGGTATATAAAAATAAACGTCGATTGCTGGGGATTTAATTTTGCACGGGAGACCCCCCGGCAGGATGCCATTTGGCGCCCTGTTCTTTACCGTGAGCGCTTTGGTGACTACGTTGGGTCTAAACATGGTGATAGACAATGGATAGGATGTGGCGTTACAAACGCTCACTAAATTGATTCAGGCGTGTCCGCCGGCGCCCTGTTAGGGTGCAATTTGGCTGCAAACAAAAATTTCAGTTTCGTACCCCAAAGGCTCACATGGGCCGCTGAGGGCCATGTAATACGTTTTATTTTAATAACCAGAAAAACTAACCAAGGTTAGATTATTAACTGGGGTGTTTCTTTTTGTCCGTAAAAAATTCAAACAGTTTCGTCACTTTGCGAATGATGCAATTTGCATCTATTTTTAGACAGGCAATCAGAAATTGAGATCGAGCATCTAACAATAGACTATTAGTAACGCTAACATATTACATCAGTCACACTGATGTTTAAAACACGTCAAATACTTTTTTACGTGCAAAATAAAATCCTGTTCATTTGTGTCGCTTTTGCGAATGACGCAATCTGCATCATTGTTAACAGGATGCTATTTGGCAAGATGGCGCCTGTTAGTTTTAAGGAGCCAGGGGCCGTACGTGGCGCCTATGCGGTAGTGTAATCGAGGGGGGGGGTGCTCCTGAGAGCGCCCATGTACGTCTCTGACACATGGGTGGTCACCGAAGTGTGTTCTACCTGATGATTTCGGTGAGTGATTAATGTACACATAAGGTTTTCACGCGGTAGTGTAGGTAAATATAGGATTGGTAACGTATGGATGAAACCCTTCTTCTATCCCCGCGGCAACGCGTGGGGACGGGTACGCTAGTTGTAAATAAAAACATAACAAGTACTAAAAAAAATTTCATAAAAAACGTTTTGATAACAAGCTATTATGTACTAATAAACTTAAAAGTAGAAAATAAATTATAGACTACTATTTAAATAACTATAAAGAAAAGCGTGGGTCTATTCCTAAACATTAGTAAAGTTCCACTAAAGGTATCCAATAGAATAGATACTAAAGTGACCCACGCTTTTCTTTATACTATAGTTATTTAAATAGTAGTCTATAATTTATTTTCTACCTTTTAGTGCATTAGTACATAGAAGCTTGTTATTAAAACGTTTTTTATGAAATTTTAAAAAAAGTTTAAGTAATTAAAAATCATGTCTATATTCCGAGTTGCCATCCCACGTAGTCTTATATAAGAATTTTAGTTGTTTTATTTTCTACTTTTCAGTCATTCATAATTTGTGAAGTCGACAGTACCAATGCTGCCACTTAAAATATTTGCTTTAAAACACTATCAGTAGGTCGTTAAGGACGATACTACCCCCACCCTCCTTTCCCCCAACCCCTACCCTACCCCCCCCCCCCCCCCCCCCCGTGAAAGCAGCCCCTTCTTAGTTACCTCCCCTAAGTTTTAGATAGTTTCAAACTAAAGTATCTGCCCCTAATAGCCGTCACTAAACCCGGCTCTAAGATTAATGTAAACATTTAGCGTGAACCACATCTCACCAGACCATGTAGGGGTGGGATGATAGGGAGCGCGCTTACAGCTTGTTTTCTAGCGTCTCCAAGAAGAGAATTATATATACAGATATTCGAGTTTAGGGGTGATCACTCCCGTTTTATTTATACAATGTTTCCTTTATGGCTTTCCCTGTGAACATTTATTTCGCTAACCGTGATTCATATCGATTACCTCTCCCTACTAGATAGATCTGTTAGGGTCAAAGCCCGAAGTCGGCGAATGCGCGCATTGGCCAGCCAATGCGCGCATTGGCCAATATAGCCTTTCATTGATCGGCCAGAGTCCGAAACTTTACTTCATTTCGGCCTTTGGGCAGCCAATCCGCTGACCGGCCATGGTGGACCGGCCAGTCCGAATTAGAAAATCATCTGGCTAGGGACGACCTGTCAAAGTCCGAATTAGACGATCACGAGCAGATTTTGATTTTTTTATACCGTAAGGATCATAAAAATTAAGTCTAAGTTGATTATTATTTAGAATTAGATTGTTATTTTTACGCTTGCAGCGATTTGTTGTGCAATAGGTTGTGCAATTGCAGTAAATGTAGCCTTGGCCGCCGGTCAGTGATTGTGAAGATGCGATGGTTCGTAGTGATTTACCTCAGTGCCAGCGGGCGACAATGAGAGCAGTTTTTCGTGAAGAATTGAAAACTCACTTCTAGCATATAGCTGTTTAAATACACCATGTTCCGTTCCTAGCTTGTAGAAAGCGCCCTCGACGCTCATGACAACTGCAATGACGCTTCGAGGATCACCGCGACCTCTGTCAACATCTGGTATACGGATGCGACCAGTATCTCCCACTTCAGCTTGTTTAAATTTTGTTAGCATCTTGGCACCTTG